AGTGGGAGATTTGCTCTACCGAACCTCATTCATCTGGGAGTGGGAGATTTGCTCTACCGATCCTCACCTGCGATGAGATGAAAAAACAGAAACAAAATAAGATTGCGGGTAAGAAAGTGCTTTAAATAAGCAGAAAGAACTGACGGCGCTAAATCGAATCTAGTTAAGACGATTACGGAATCAGCACAAAAGCCGTCTAGCCACTTTAATCATAATGCACTTGTCCAGGTCAATCAAAAAAGCCGATTTTGGAGTCGACAGCATGCGGGCGACAGCTCGTCTTTCCCAATTGTCTTGTTTCGTCAGGCCGTGAAGATCAGGCCTGGCAACAACATGTAATGTAACTTAAAGAACTATTCCACGAAGTCGCACTGCGACTATGAATGCTGCAAGCTTATCCGGAAAGGCCATTTACATGTTATGAAGCTGATTATGAACGGGTGATCATAACTTAGAAGAGTGCAAGGAGATGTCACAGCCCTACGTAACAATGCGACTGGCTATGGCTGTCTCGTTGCTAAAGCAAAAGTGCTATGCAAGACGCCGTTTTTTTTTTCATATACTGACTGTATCAGGAGAATAGGGTATGCCACTCAAAACAATCCGATACCTTCCCATCCATAACTAACTCTGTGAATCCATTTTCCATACCCTTTCGATGATGCGCGTGGTAAAAACCCGCCTGGTTCGGGGATAGCTAGCTTTCCATTTCAAATTTCGCCCTGTATCGTCCATTACAAAGATTTTGCTCATCATGCTGTGGTTATGGGTTCGATTTTACGATGCCGCTGTCGATTTTGTTCTTCAACTTCCTATTTCGGCCTTCCGTGGTTCCGTATTTTGCTTGCCCCACCTGCTGCAGTCCGCTCAGCGCTGAGGTTACATCGGTAGTTGCGATCGACAAAGTCTGCTCTGCATTGAACCCACATCACGTGGCACAATAACTGCCAAAACGGAGTTTTAATCGCCGATCTAGTGGCCGGGCCCTTGAGCTCTTGGCGGCGGCACATTTCTGCCGCTGTTGGATACTAGCTAGTGTAGGGTAGCCTGTAGTTTCGTTGCAGTTAAATGGCCAAGTCGGATGCGCCACTGAACTTTCTACAGTTCAACGTAGTTGCCAGCAGCAATGACTGTCATGACAACCATTTTGTGGAGTAGAGATTCCATTTCACCTCGTTCTATTGCGACTTTTCCGTCTTTCTTGCTTGGTGACTGTTTTAGGATGTCGCTAGGTTCCGTCGCGATGCGGGTAAAAGTCCCGACCTGAGTAGCGAAAATGGCTTTTTGATCCACTTTCTTTTTGAGCTGTCACTGACCAGAGAAGCGGAAAACAACCGCAGCGGAAGCGGATTTTGTCGCTCGGAGATTAAGCACCGTTGCGCTGATGATCTAGTGCATTTATGGCACACCGTAGCTCCCTATAACGTACTCGCAGAGCAGAAGAAAAACCCTTGACGTGGATATCTCGTTTCATAGTGTCGCGTAAAATAACTTGTGAAATGACTCCACATGCTAAATTTTATTCTGGTTTCCAGCCTCCGCATTTTTCCCTCCGCATTTTTATATTTTCATTATTACTCTTTTTCTCGCTCTTCGTCTCTGCGTCTGTGCTTTCTGGTTTATTTATCCACTTTCATGCTTTGATGGACCCATGATTTGCTTGAGTTGACTGAATTGCATGCATACAGCCCGGGATGTCATGTGAACTACGCGAAAGCTAAAATGGGCACTGACTAGCGACCAAGATCGAAGCAAGGTGCTGAAGAAGCGATACTCGGACCGCGCAGATCGTCCATATCAGACTGAAGCTAGGTAAGTTACCCGGAGTGACAGCACGCGCACTAGTACAGGGGCTCGAGGAGATGAGGACGATAAAGTAGGCAACGTATGTAAGCATGCATTAGTGACTAGTGCCCATTCGGCCAAACCAAGCCACCAGCGTAATGGCATGGTCTCATGGCACTCACAGTTGTGGGTAGATCTGAAGACAAAGTCGACTCGAGCGCAAGTGCAACTGGATTGTACGGTTTTGAACGGAAGGCTCTAACTGCCTCTAGGACATGCTCCGTCGATGGCGATTTTTGAACTTTTCAAACTTGGTGTTCATGCGTAGTTGATTGATGCATGGGCAAAGGCGAGCCCAATTTGGCGCGTTCCTTTGTCAGAATTTTACGTGGGCGCCCACAGTCCCAAAATCGCCGATGCCGAAACCGGACGGAGTGTCACCCATTCAGGAACCAGGCCCATTTGTCCACACCTACAGTCCTATGAAAGCCGAGATTGGCCGCTTTTTCGTTTTGGATGTTTGCCCACCTATACTACGGACGATACGGGCCTCATCATCACTATGGCAATCAAGAGTTTATCTAACGGCAGAGGCTTGGCCAGGAACTAAAGCTGCCGCCGCCGCCAATCTAGGACGGTATGAGCCAACTCACGTTCAAATTTGTCCGCCATAGCTAGCGCGGCGCCGGTAGTTTCTACGACACGGACTGATCGAGCTTACACAGAATGCTTACTTGTCCAAAGAGTCCTATAACGGACAAACGACATGACCTCCTGGTATAAAAAAAGAAAAAAAAAAAAAAAAAAAAAAAAAAAAAAAAGAAAAAGACAAACAAGAAAGAAGACTAAAACATAAAAATAAAATAAAAAAGTATCTCTGACTGTCCTACAACCGCAGGAGCTTGTAGAGAAGAAAGAAACAGAGACGAGAGAAAAGGAGAATTTAAATGAGTGGAAGCAAGCGACCACGCTAGATCGAATTTAGTTAAGACCCATTACGTGGTGGGCTCGAGAACTGTCAAAATTTGACCCTTCAATTCGCCCAACCACTTCGGGCTGTTCGGGTCACCCAACCCATTGGCTTGCGTTCTTTTTTAGACGCTGAGTATGATGTCACCACGTACTTGATGTTACCATCCCGAAAAGCAATCTCAACACCCAGACGCCGGTGACAGGTTCACGTTCGGAGGGGTAATCTTGCATGTCGTCCCACAATTTGCCATCATGAAGCCGACTATCAAGTCGAGGTCACTCAGCTGACCTCGCCTGTTCATTTCTGTATCATGTAGGCATCAGGACGCGGCACGATATCAACAAGGCTTAATTATCATGAGCTTGGCTCTAGGGTAGTTTACAACCCCAAGGAAACGCCCTGTCTAACAGGCATATATAAAGCTGTTTCACGAGGATGCACTGCTATGGCAGTTGCCTCCTTCCTGAACAAAGCGTGTTCAGATACTGTACAATCTGTTCAGGCATTAGATGGATAGAGTATGCCACAGGCATCACGAGAGCTGCACCTTCCAAAACTGGCGTCTTGGATCATTTTTCTACATAAAACATTTTCGGTTGATGCCCACGGCGAAAATACACCGGGTGCTGGGAGAGTCAGTCTTCCACTCAACTTTCCCTCTGCTTGGTCCTCAATAAAGACTTTGGTAAATCGTGCTGTGTATGTCACTGCAGATCTGCAAATTTGCGTCGCAGGCTTGAGCTGACCATGCTGTCTGGACTGCTCATCTCGGCTCATGACGAAGATGACGGTCACGGACCACAGTCTCTGTATGTAATGCTGCTCCGACAGAAGACACTGTTGATCATTTCTTATTAACCTCTTTTCTGATAGCATAGACATTGCCGATATATCTACGATGGCTTTATTCCATGCCATGGTCCAAGCTTCGCGGATTAGCCCGACCCCTCTGGTGATCGGAGATGACCAACGTTGTAGAATGAAAGGCATGTCGCAAAGCCCCGACTATAACTGCAACGGAATGCCGAAAGCAGGGTTCCTCATCGACTCAGGGCGATACAACGAAGATCATGGAGAAGGCGCGATGCAGGAGATGGTCAACAAGATTCGCGAAGAGAGACGGCGGGCGGCCCAGGACCGTGGCGCGTCATAGTGTCTTTGGTGCTGAACAGAGCGCAGACCTAGTAACTGCGGATAAATCTATATTCCTACCCAGCGCGCATTTAGTTCTCACGTGATAGTAGATGGACTGGGTCGTAAAACGCTTTTCAATATTACTCCTCGTTTGAGCTTACAGACGCTATATCGTTTCCACGGCACACCGAAGCTATTGCTCTCCCGTACTTTCAAACTGCTCCTTCTCCATCTCTACTTCTCCCTCTCCAGTACTGTTGAGGCTACTGCGAGTATTCACAGGTGGCTGCGCATTTTCCAGAGCTGCTTGGCCCTCCCGGATATTTCCCGTTCGTCGGCGATTGGCGAGCTGGACGAATGCAGGCATGATAAATCGGTTGACCATAGTATCAAAGCTCATATCCGCCTGGACTTGCGGAACGAATATCAAGCAAGTCCACAGACCGCGTCGAGAGGGATGTCTCCGGAGCATTACACGAGCAGAGGGGCGGCTGACATCAAGTCTGATGTTCTTGTACTGTGACTCTATTGCCTTCCTGCTGGAGATGACATCTTTCTCATTGCTATGCTGAAGTAAATCACCCGATCTAGTACAAGGCGCCGGCAATGATCTTACGCTGTCAAACTTGGCATTTCCAGGAGAAGACGGGGTTTGTCTTGTTGAGACCCGGGGTGTCTTCTTTTCCTGCTTTATATTCCGCTCGTCGTCTTTATCTGGCTGACGCTTTCTCTTGAGCTAAGACACCGTCAGTGGGATAGAACAAAGACCGAAAAGGGGAAGAAAAGAAGAAAAAGAAAAAAAAGGAAAGCAAAGACACCACTGTGAAGCACCAGTATGGAACAACAAGGTGAGAATCCTGAACAGTAAGGAAGAAAAGACAGACGAATACATAACTAGGTTAATGACAACCTTGACTGTTTGATGACTTACCGAGCTATCACCCTCGCTTACGGATGGGCCTATCGATGGCGCCACCTTCTGACGGGCTCCACCATTCTTCCGTCTGTTGTAGCTTCGGGTTCGCGTGGTAAGCCCCATTGTAGCTGCTGGTGCGTCCGAATCATCGGGAACTGGCAGGCTCGCGCTGTCGACGTGGTCTTTGGTGGTCGATGTAGCCTCTTCTGATGGGGGAGGTACTGCAGGCATCAGATGCTGCTCTGCAGAGAGGCCTAGGATGTCGATTACATCTGCGACAACCCTTCTCCCTACACTCTTAGCTACTTCATCTTGTAGCTCTTGCTTCTTGGTTCGGGTAACTTCGTGCTCCATCTCAAGTTCCTTCATCTGCTGACCATCAGAGAGGAGGGTTCGCAAAAGAAGGGCAACATTATCGTCGTCGTCGTTGTTATTGTTGTTGTTGTTGTTGTTGTCATTGTCCCGCAGGGTATTGAGATAAAACTCGTCGATTCGTTTCTTCGACGCGTCGCTTATACGGGCTCGCTCCTGGCGAAAGACATCGTCCGGATCTTTGATACCTTGAAGATGCGTATTCCAATTGGCGATGGCTTCGCGTAGGCGGGTGGTTATATTTACGTCGGGGCAAGCCATGCCGCACAGGAGGTAGAAAGCCTAGGATAATGGAGCAGTGTGATTATGAGATTGAGTTTTTACCCTGAGAGATGAATTCTCACATTTTATGAATAACAGACTGCACTCTCCATGATTAATAGATATGTCTGCGTCTGAAGTCATTTTGGTTCGAATGCACCTATCTCGATCACACACGGGAAGGTAGTCCATATTCTGCCTCGACTCAACGTCTGGAGGAGGACGTAAGCTACCAAAATCCTAAACCCCCTAGGCGAGGCAATATTAGCGTGTATGCGAAAGCCAGTTCAGACGGCCAAAAATGGTTCTTTCACTAGTTGGACATAACCTATGGGTAAGGTTGCGATTGCAAATGAATCTGCGTCTCGAAATAGGTCGCAAAGGACAATTGGCGTACGTACAGTATGGAACGGGAAGGTCTCCATTATCAGGTACTGCGCAAATCTCAACGGAAAGATGAGCTGCTGTACTCGTCTATCCCGTTCTAAGACGCGGGTCGATAAGCACTGGGGATCTGACAACATAGGAACATGAGAGATCGACGGGATGTGTACTGTAGTAAGTGAGATGTTTATACTGTACACCCCGTGATATGCCTTGTCAATAATCAATAATCAATATCAAGCTCCGAGTTCCCGGTTTTAACCTTCGCATGTAAAAACGTTGAAATAACTTTAAGCAGTGCAACAGCACCACAACATTGGTTCGCAAACTATAATATAGACCAAGGGACATTTTACATGTAGCACTTGGAACTGTCATGGGACAAAGCTCGTTGAACTTGGCGATGATGATACAATATGGTTGGCCAAGACGTCTCTGTTTGTCGAGGACCAGTGAGCAGAGCGGAAATGACTGAACTTAAATTGCAATGGTATTGCCTACAAGGTAGTACTAGGTAACGTTCCTTCAAGATGGTGACATGTAGAAATATGGAATTTCAATAATTTTCAATCAACTGTGGGCCGCTCGCCCATCCTCCAGGTGAACATGATCCATCCATCATCACTTTGCACAACCTATGCCCTCGTGCACAATCATGTTCATGTAATCCCGTTCTCTTCCCATTGCGGTGTTTGGGCTACTGTTCTCAACTTTGATGGAGGGCGAGTCTGTTCCGGCCTCTTGACGACGTCCCATATGCTCGGCTACCTGTTTCTACTGTAAGTCAAAGGCAGGAAGAGCGTGGCTACGGCAATACTTACTATAGCGTCAAGGCTTGGGATCGTTTGACCTTCCGGTATGTGTCCCGCAGACACCCACTCGTCGTGAACTGGATTCTTGAAGACCAGTATGCAGGTGGTGTGTCCATCAACTCCCATGTTCATAGCCTTGTTGCATAAGGTGTTACCTCTCTTGCGGATCAGGGCCTTTTCAGAATCGTCGTGTTCATGTAACACTTGAACTTCGGTAGCGAGTGGCGATGGTGAATTCTGTCTGGGCGGTGCTCGTCTCGTCATCGCGCGATAAGGCTGCTCCCGATTGCTATTGCCGTGGGGATCAGCTCGACCTCCCCTGCGCTACAATTGGATTAATACATGGAAAATTGTAATCTGAGGAGCAGTATCTTGGTCGTCTTACCAAAGTACACCACGTCACGGACGTATTGGCCTCTGGTCGAACCGTCTGACAGGACTCGTCGTCCCATTTTTCTTCATGATTGGGAGCCTGCACATGTGCATCCCCAGCCGCTACATTGTTCGGTTGATACTCAGAGGCTGACTGTTGCTCATCGTTCGGACGTAGAAGGATATAGTCGCCTTCATCCAAATTCATGGCTGCAGATAACTCTGGTACCAACTTTTGTATCGCCTCTAGGCCCAGGATATTCAGCTGTGCTCTTAGCATCCTTCTGGTCAGTTCTTCCATTGTCTCGCCATATTGCTCAAGCCTCTGGGCTCTTGAAGCCACGTGCGCTAGCTCGAGTTCTATCATTTGCCGATTATCTGCAAGCAGCTCTTTTTGGAGGCTAGGTACGCACCCGAACGTTCCATCCCGTACTAAATTTTCCAGCCTCCTCCTCGAACGATCTTCAAAATCAGCCAGCTGTTCTCTGAACACGGCATCTGGATCTTTGATATGTTCGAGCTCTTGACAGAAGGAGATGATAGAAGCCCTCAGCGAAGAGGCCCAGCTTATGCTCGCCATATCGAAGTGGAGGCCAGAAGTTTCGAAGAATCAAATGAGAATAATGGTGCTGATGTGGTAAAGCTTGTATGGTAGCTCTAGGATCATGTGCTTGAGTGTTGACATACACGGTTGTACAGTACAGGCCGAGTAGGCGATGGCAGGTTAATTATCCTATGAATATTACTTGTTTGCATCATCGGTTTGTCTAGGCGGAAATAGGACTTTTTCTTCTTCTTTTTTTTTTCGGTCTGCTTTTGGCCGCCAACATGCATGACTCTGAAGAAAATGATTCTTTGCTATAATCCATTTTTGGCCGTCTAGAAAAATGGAGTTGGAATATCTTTCTCCCAATTTTGGACGTATCACTAACTCTAGAGCGTTTTCAGGAAAAGCACCGAAATCGAACCTTAGTTGAGCCTCTTGTACGCCGAGTGCATAGGTCCGGCTAATGGTCATCAAAACAGTCCCCATGGGCGAGTAGAGGAAAATACAATTTTACTGCACATTATTCTTTTCTCCTAATCTCATCTTCTGTATCGGTTGAAGGTAAAAACACGGTTGATGAATCGTCTCTGTCCTATGCTATCTCCCCCCCTCTTTCTTATCTCTCGCGCGTGTAAATACTCATCATTCACATTTGAGCATATCAGAAGAGAAGAGACGGCTTGGGTCTGCTGTACATTTCCGCAGTTATAGCTCAAGGCACGTTCACGACCGCTTACACTGCTGACAGAGCCTTGCCTCCTTGACCTGCTTCATCACACCAATAGATGACGGCACCTGGTTCACTTCTCTACTGTTCTGAGCGTTGAGCCAACTCCAGTAGTGTTGTTGTAATATCTAAATTCGAACTCAACTGGTACGTGTAAGGTCGCTGCTCATTACCAGAGCTATCCAGGTGTGTGTAAGATGGTGGAAACAATATTCCATCTGGATTTGCGCGTCTGTCCAAAGCCTGATCCGCATTGATCATTGTTTTCTGGTTGGGCGATAAGGATCTTTTATAAATCGATTTTCCGGGGGAAAACCTGGCACTTGTTGTCGCAAGCTACCAAACGTTATAAAGCGCCACAGACTACCGATAGTGAGGGTAGACTAAAAACCAGCGGATGTTTATAGTTTCGAACAAGGGATCGCGACATCGTGCGGGTGCTTGAATGCATGTAAACTGTTCGTGAAAGACCCCCACGATTCTTCAGACATGATAGGTGCCGTCACATAATCATCCAAGTCAGACCGAGAAGCAGATTCCGATCTGATCTGGGCCAAGACATTATTGTACGGCTCAGAGGATTGAGACTGGGCACCTGCTCGACATTGTGGTCCCATCGCCGGCAAATGGTTTAGATCCTCGCACATGCAGATGCCCTGATACAATGTGAGCACATCTGGTGAGAGCCCTGAGGTTTCGGCGGCCTCATAAGCCATGCGATTTCCAATCGCTTCAGCCAGTAATCGACATCGAGGGAGAATGTGACGATCGAAGGCGGGACCGCGATGTTTCTTATACCCCCTGATCACTTCGAGTCGTGATTTCATATCTAGCATTAACCTGTCCTCGCGTTGCGCCAAGCGTGACAATCTGTTGCGCGCTTGTGGGAGCCCCAGTTTCTCTCCCAGTTTTTCTCTCCCAGGAGCTCTGACATGAAATCTAGGAAATAAATCATCAGTTGTCACGATAATGTCAGCACGTAAAAATCAGCTGAGCACATACGAATGCACAACAGTAGTGTGTCTCCTTCGGCAATCGAGATTCCCTGTAATGTTGAATCTAGCTCGCTTATTTGATTATATGCACAGAGGCCCTGCCACCCGCACCTTTCGGTGAGGGGTCTCAAGATTTGGGAGGCTTTCATTACTGTCGCCTTGAAAATTGTGACAAGCGCGTGCTGCGTCCCATTGCTAAGATTAGGGCGCATCCCTATGGTCCAACGAGCGAATGCATGCAAGACCTTGCCTTGCACCCATCCTTCGACAATTGGACGCTGCTGGGTGCTGAAGCTCATGATCTCTCCGGGTACAGGCCCATCGGGTGCCGTGATCGTCCTTCGCTCGATGTAGACAGCAGCTATACGCGTTCCAACCTTGATGGCGGAGATGCCCATTATAGAGAGGGACAGCGTTCCAGCTGACACCCGCCAAATCTGGCGTAGAAAATCAAGACGATCGTTTTCCGGTTTTGAGGATGAGCCGAGCAGAGCACTGAAGGGCAAATCGACATGGTTAAATGCCGTCAGAGAGTGGTACAACGGTTTCGTACCCGGCCGTGTGGGCAGAATACGTGATGTAACCCCAGGCCGCAGTCCGCAAGCGTCGCTGAGACAAACGAGGAAGGGCTTCACGTCATGGCTTTTCCCGTCAACTAAGAGGCAAGCAAATACTATAGCTATGCGAGGCATGCCACAGTAGGGCGTTGTCAGAGGCATTGCCTTTGAAGCTCCTACGTGGGGGGTATGTAGATCGTAGGAGCCATCAGGCAGTAGTGTGGCCGTCGTTTCTGTAGCCGTCGTTTCCAAGTTACGAGCGTCCAAACCATGATCGGCTTCGGTCAGCATAAATCCACCGCAGATATCAAAGTTCAGGAGCTTATCAACCAAGTCCTGTAGGTCGGGTCGCCCTTTGACGAAGGAACAAAGTGTCCCTATACATAGGTTTACCTGTATCGCTACGATGATGAAGGCCGTCATGTCGCGAGCAGCAATCACTCCATTGCCATGATCAGTATGCTACAGGTATGCGCTCAGATCTGCCAGACTTACAATCGAATTGGAAATCCCAGAATTTCGGGGTTAGATTCTCAATATCCTGTTGTGACAGACCTGCCAAACTGTTTAGTGACGCTCTCCAATAAAGGCTTCGGACGTACCACTATGACGGAATATCGACCTTGCCCGCTCGTAGTGCAGGGCTACATCTCGTCTGGAAGTAGACGCCACAATGTCACGGTCGCTGCGCCAGATGTCCTGGCTAAGGATCGGCTTGGATTGGAACATGCTGATATGATGATCTTCTCGATGGCTTTGCGGTGATTCCTCTTGACGTTCTGTAAGTAGGGGAGTGATATACAGTCAATATTGCAAGACATTGGAGGAGCTTCTAAGCTGTCTAGTTGCCTTTAAAGAAAATGACAGAGCCATTGTTGGATTGTCTACGGGATCATTTGGAAAGCAGAGAAACAGCCCTCGAATTTGAACGCCGTTGAAATGGACATCTTCCAGAACGGGGAATATTTCAAATCGGCCTACTGTGCTGGCAAGTAGGGAGGGAGCACAGTATACGTTGTATGGCTCTCTGCCTGTAAGAAGCAAGCGTCGTGGACGCTTCCAGGATACAATGGCGAAACTATACATGGTTTTGGCCAAGAGAATGCCCGATATTTGTGCTACACAATGTTTCTCCTGAGCTGTCTTATGGATCTTAGTTCCAAGGGATATCTATTCGGGTATATCTTTACCTCGGTCTATGGAAACTGTCCAGTCGTAAGTTCTGCTCCTCGAAACTGAAAAGCATCACTGACCTGGCAATTGCAGGATTCGCAGTGGCCCATGAAACCTATGCTTGTTACCATAGGACTATGCCCAGCTTGCATCCACTTACGCCCGACCCTCGGTGATACACGGATGTAATAGCGAACGACGCCACTTTATGCAGAGACAAGGTATCTATATCATGTACAGTGAAGCAGAGAGCAACCAATCGACCATTTGGCAGGTTTCCGGTCGTGTTGACAGTCTTTGCTACACCGTGACATTACAAGTTCTACGGAAGGAGCATTAACGTCGGTATAGAACGCTTCGGATTTGGGATCGGGAAAGCTGCCTTCTAGATAAAGGTCGACTGGTTCAGTCACGATACAACCTGTAGTCGGAGGTGACTCAGTTGTCAGATTGGCCAAAAACTGCGCTGTTGACTGGATCCTGTGGCGATCTACAGATGGCATATCTTTGACAGGGCATTGCGGAACAATTATGAAGATGGTCTCTAGATGATTGAGATTGGTGAGGATCGTCAGGACTTCTATCAGATTGATTTCCGATTCTGCGAAGAAAGCGACATGCTGGATACACGAAATCCTGCCTGTGAATAGAAGCGTCTCGCTCACTGAGTTAGACTTCAGCTGCACTAGGTCAAGCAGCAAGAAGATGGTTCGAGATACGCAGAACCTGACAGAGGCCCACTCCGAGAAGAGACTTGTAGTTCTCTCCCATTCAGCTAAGGCCTCTTTGCATGATAGCGCAATACGATATGACCCAGGTTGCCGAACAGTCTCAGAAGCACAGGATAATCCGCTTTTCGAGGAGCACATGGTGTCCAAGCTAAGGGAGACAACTGACATGGTCGCACTCCGCAGAGCGATTCCCCATATCTGCACTCGCAATTCGAGCGGTAGAAGGGGAAAGAGATGGAACGACATGGCGTTTGATGCTCAGGTGTTTTGTGGTTGTTACTATACAATCTTCTACTCTATACCGCCATCGGTCTTCCTCAGGTGTGAGAAGAGTGTCATGTCGTTTGGGGTTCAAGCAGAAAGGGAAAACGCCCCTTGGTTAAGTAGTATTCGAATGCTGCAGGCGTCCGATTTCGTCTCTGGAGTGATGTAAGGTATTAAACAGGACTATCCGTGCAAGGCGGTTTGTAAGGTGATGTGGTATTGTAGGGCACGTAACAAGGTGTAGCAATATACTATTGCACTTCCCACCGGAGTAAAGCTGAGTCTGAACCACGCGATGGTCTTATAGAAGTTAGGGTCGTTAGACAAAATATATAGCATCACCACCATTACGCGTGTCTTCACGAAGGCTAGCCTTAGTCGACACCAGTAAGAATAGCCATTTGAGAGAATGTGATATATTGCTTTCCCTTCCTCATTTTTCTCTGTTATATATTTTGATATCGTTTCTTGACACTATTTACGGTGAGAGTAACCCTTAAACCACAATATATAACTCATCATGTATGGATATTCCGGTTATCTCATCGGCTTGAGTTACGCGCATCTCAGGTGTTCCAAGGTGGGCACGAAATATCAGGCATGAAGCTCGTACAACCCATACGTCATTTGAGTCGGCCCTGTGCTCAACATGTAGGATGGGGTTGATGCTTGAAGAGTCCTAGTATGGACGCTGCTCCGCTAAGATGAGACTTTGTAGACAGACGGTGGCGCACCTGGTATTGGAAGCTGGAAAATTCTGTTCCCTGCGGCCTCTAGATACTCAGCAAGCGAGTCCATGGTGTTGTATACCACTTGGCTGTGCCGACAGTTGACTTGTTCTATTGCTGAGGTACATATCACTTCCTAGATGAACGTGATTCCTATTGCTCATCCTCGTGTTGTCATACGGTTCCACTGCCTCGCGGCTGCTGCTATGCTGGACGGTCGACAAAGATCCTGCTATGGTCCAGATTTGGGCCTCCATATCCCATGTTCTTGAAGGACTTCCCGCCTTGGAACCTTTATGTCCGCATAAGCGAGCAAAGTACCCACGTGTAGATTGAGACGAAGTTTTGTTATCCACTTCTTTGGTTCTTTCTAGGTAAACGAGATGATGAAGGCGCAAAGAGCGCTGCCAGGCGTAGTAGCAACAGTGCGACGAGCTAACAGAGTGCTAGAGAGAGACATGCGCTCGTGCCATCTACAAAAGGTGCGCTTGAGGAGTATGCAGACTAGGAGAAATGCATGAGCGGCCCAAAAAAGAATGGCGACAACAGCGACAAGTATGATCTTGGTCTGTTCCATGATCTCCTCGTCTTTGGTGCGGCGGAGATGAAGATGGCGGTTGGTGTAGAGGCAGATTGATCTCAGGGCTAGTAACTACTTACGAAAACGTTTGGTGAATTGACGAACAGATAAGGGATTGTAAGAAACGAGGTTCAAGATAGCACACCCTCAGACGTCTGGATACATTTGGACCCTGATTTCAAACTGGGCCATGTGGGCCGTAATCTCGGACCAGTGGCTGAGGTCAACACTATCGCCAAGGCATATCACAAGCCAGATCTGAATCACAGCTGAGCCATCGAAAATGTGGAGGCCTGAATCAGAGGATCGGCCCGATCTTTCACTATATATATGGCGTAAGAATGCTTTCCGCGGGCTCATGTACATAGCCTTCTTCACCTTCAACTAGATATCTATCCTGCCATCGCTTCGGCCATTCCATTCTTCCTTCGCTCCTCACTCAAACGCCAAAATGACTGCCCAACGAAAAACCAAGAAGCTGGTGATAGTCCGCAATGACGCCCCGGATGCCGACAACATAGCAGCATTTATGCTTCTGTTACAATGGGCAAAAAACGCGCCTGACGTCGAATTGGTTATCATATTTGAGCCTCGGCCTATTGACTTTAGCCTGGCAATTTTGAAACCTGATGACCAAAAACAATTGGACAGGTTACTCAAGCGTCACTTCCCTGAACTCGGAAATCCCCTCAAGATTCGCCTAAATGGCTTGTTGACAGAGCAGGCTATAAGCCAGGTCACAAACCTCAGCGAAGAAGACCGGGCTTTGGTAAGTTTCGAAGCTTTATTTTTCGTCCTTTCGGGTTAGTTCTGTTGGCTAAAGCTGGAAACTACAATTAGTTGAGTATGGCAGTCAAGCCCTCCAAAAGCTCATTAGAGGACCCAAAGCTACATGATTCACTCATGGCCAGGCGCCTGGACTCAGAGCTACATGCTTCACTCATGGCCAGGGACCTCGCAAGGTGCCTCAACGAACTGCCAGGAACATCTCGAAGCCAGGCCAAAGTAACTATCCTGGTGGATATGGATGCACTGTCCGATACGAGTCCTGTGATCTCAAGTGTCACGCCCAAGAGCAGCTGTTCAACCGCACTCCGGAAGAGATCAGTGAATTCTATGGCTTCATGAAGCTGCCTCGTCTTCAAAGGCAGGAAGAGATCAGGCGATGGTACAAAAACCGTATCAAAGAAGCCGATGAGAAGCTGCAGAACTCCAACATCGATGTAGGCTGTCTTGATTTCCGTCATTTGGCGGAACGGATTATGGCCGCAGACGGTGCCATGTTTACTGAAGGGGCATCCTTCAACCTTCTTCGTCGTCTTGTTGATGAGCCAGGCGTAGCAGCGAAGATCGACTGCGTTGTACAAGCAGTATGTCTTCTCCGAATTACCTGATTCTAGGCGTACACATACTAACCTCTCCATCCATCTCCATAGGGAACTCTGGACCTTGCTAAGATTATCTTCACAAACCAATTCAACATCGCTCTCGACAGAGAGTCCGCTGCATACGTGCTGGATAGTTCGCATCTCTTTCGCAATTTTGTTGCTGTTCCGACTCACACATCCCAGTCAATCTCTTTCTCATTTGACAAACTGGAAGAGAATGGCTTTTTCAGTCTTGCAAGATGGATCTTATGTTTCAATCGTGGCGAAGACCCTTTCAAGGTAGCGGAAGGACATGTCACTTTGGCGGGTCAGCACCGCGATGCAACGATCAAGCTGCCGGATCTTGCGATGATTCTGCTTACATTTGACTTCGAAGCATATCCGAGAGAAACATCAAAGGTCGAGGTACAAGTCGTGCAGGGAGAGTCTCTGCTTTTCGTACAGTCAGAAAGTGGAATCCTAGCATTCCTACCTAAGGATGGCCATATATACAAGACTGTGGATCTAGTGGCCCTTCTGACTTCTGTGCATTAGGGACAATTCCGAATCAATTGGGTTACTTGGGATTCTTCACTGTTGAAGAGGTTGGGCGCGAGCGAGCCAATCTGCAAGTCGCTCATACTCTGCCTATTTACTATATCAGTCTGGGGCTACTATTTTCCGATATGTATTTATATGATAGTGTGTGATGCAGAATAATCATTATCGCAACGATCCACCTCTCTTTTCTTTCATTTACTGCTAGTGTCTCCATAAGCTTGTCCAGGTACTGCAGAGAGCCGACCTCAACATGAGTCGATGCGTAGCCCCCTTTATAGCTCGCGAACTAGCTTCAGGTTGCGAGATATGAAAGGGTCAAGAGGCTAAAATATAGAGAATGAAAGAAAGCTTATACCACGCACTCGTTACTCGACATAGAAGGAGAAGAAGGCGGCTAAGAAAGGGGAAGTCCAGTCACAGCTGCCGATTTATCTGCTGCAAAAAACTCACTTTCTCTAGTTACATATATATATTATTGGACTGACCAAGCGATATTGCCGTCCTAATCTCAAAATAAATAGGACAATAGCGATATTCAATCACAAATGCGGTTGCGGCGTTTCTCCACGAGCAAGCCTCATATGACTGGCAGTAAAGGTGTCGTTCGCGACAGCTGAGCTTGTGCTGACGTCGAGTGCAAGACTGAACGCTGCAATGAGCCCGGCCAGCCGTTCCTTCTGGTCTGGCCCGTCTCCGTCGCATCGCAGCATCTTGAGAGCCTCTTTCTGCATCGGGTATCCTGTACCGCCTCCGACAGTGCCTACAGGCAGGGACGGGAAATAGAGGCTCATGCAAAGCGCACCAGTCTTAGGGTCAAGTTCCGAGGTCAGATGGCTCCAGGATGCTTCGGCGGTGCTGGCAGTGTCCTGACCGGTCGCAATGAACATGGCTGCGATGATATTGACCGTGTTTATGTTGGAACCAAACTGACCGTTCCTGATCCCGCCTTCTTTGAGAGTCTTCTGGGCCATGTAGAGGCGCTCGGTGGTGCAGCCGAGGATCTTCTGACAGGCTTCCCGTGAAATCGTTCCCCAGACTAAAGTCTCAACACCACGAGCCTTCTTCACGTTTCCCCAGGAGGGCTTTTTGTCGGAAGCTAGCTGACCTTCAATGAAGAAATCCAAGATGTTGTATTGATCGGCGAATGACTCTCGCAGCTTGTCACAGGCGTACTGTGTGGCTTTCGTGACCATGTTCTGTCCCGTCGCGCTCCTACAGCTATAGGTGCACAAAAGATGAACCTGCGAACCGATGATGGAAGGTTCGATAGTCTTGAGCCTAACATGCTTGCTAGTCGCTTCTGCCCACCTAGCGAATGCGTTCTGCATACCCGGTAGCGCTTGGGCAAAGATGACTGCCCGCCTAGGGTTCTGGAAAACAAAGACAGGACCGCGAGACATGCCATTGCTCAGAGTTTCAATATGTATGCCGCCAGAGGCATTAAAGGCCTTGCATCCTCTAGAGCAGCTGGCGATAAGGGTAGCTTCGTATGTGGCTAAAGGGGCATAGATATCGTCGAGCACGGGTGTTCCGGCCAAGCGTAACGGGCCTGCAATGCCAAGTGGGACTTTGCAGAACCCTATGCAATTCTCGATACGTACGTTTTCCAGGTCCTCCGACTGTAAGTCCGCAGCATGGTTGAACTTGTCCGCTAAATCATGCAAAACCTGGGTCTTGGCGCGTGAATCAGGAGCCATAGCAGTGTTCTCGAGGCAAAAGCTTCTTTTAAAGTGATGATTGGTAATCCCTGGAGAGATATCGAGTTATCCAGATCGAGGAGGGGGAGTCGAGTACAGTATATATTTTCTTTTCGATAGAGAAGAACTCTGATATTGCCGTCACTTGCCTGTGTACCATGCCTGGCCTAATGTCTACATCGGCCAACTTTAGACCTTCTATCACGTAACCGTCTAGATTTGTCTGAAGGAGAGTAAGATACAGCCTGTTATGAATTGAGGAAGAACTATATTGAATAAGGAAAACGATAATTAAGCGTGAGATAACACCTGGTTTTCTTAGCATATTTGCCCGTTAGGGATTGATGCATTGCGATCCTGTATGAGAAAGCGCAGCACGCGCTCTATCAAAGCATTCACACTTAGGCACCGCAATACCGTTCATGGCTTCTCAGTCTACAGTATGATAAACTAGATCGAGGATGTACGTCGGTTTTCGAGTCGAGTTGCATTAGGAGCGTAGACCTATCAGTTTGTTTCTTCTGCATCGGCATTGTGAAGCCGTGGATGGTTCGTACCCTGCCCAAGTTCAGCAACCCAGACGGCGTCCTAAACAGGCCAACTGTAGCGACAGTTATCATCGCGAGCCTGAAGTTGAGATGCTATAAGAGTCCAATGGCTGCCCTAGAGCATTGGTAGTTCAACTACGAAGCTTATATGAGTTTCATGTCTTTAGTAGGAACAGATTCACGCCTCATTCCACGCTGGTCTGCGTACTGTCTGGAATGTGACATCTTAGCACGGTCACAATGGAAGCTACACGGCTCTAACATGCAACATGGAACGCCATCAGAAGAGAACCATATTGCAAGGTCCAACGAGTCGCTACGTTGCAGCAAGTGCGCCTCATCCTCAAATCTTTGTCCTAATCGTTCAACTCTATCGGACCATGATGGGCTAGTGCATAGCTCCACCGTGCATATCTTCTCAAGTAGCGATTCTGGAGCCCACAGTTTCTCCCCGACTGACGATTCATATGGCTATACACTTGATGCTGAATCTGTGGTTCGGATGGCCAGACAAAAGAATGATTATTCTATGACTGAACCTCATCGCCTAGTGGTGCCCGGAGATGGAGACCCCCAGGTCGAAGCGATAGGTCAGACAGATGGATACGCATGTCTCGCGACACAGTGGCGAGAAAGGTCCAGAAGTATCTGAGTCATCAACAAACCCGAAGTTTCAGGGCCGATTTGGATGCTTCTTCATGTCTTTGTGCATAATCATAACCTGCCGAATCACCCCCTTGCCCCGCTATATCCTAGCTGCCAGCTTACCCTAGGTTGCCCTTGAGAGATATGATGTGTCCTAGGAGATTGGGTGCAGTGAATTGTAACAATCGCCAGGTGACTAAAGCCAAGGTGGTGGCATGAAGTCGCGTTTGTGCCCTTAAGCAATATCAAATTGGAATGTGTGTACAGTAGTATGATTGAGAGGTAGAGTGATTCAGCGTGAGATAAGATTTTATCGTTTCTGAGTTTCTGACTTTTACCTATTCCCCTCACTCCATTATCTCGCTCTTGGCCACTTATTGTTGAAACAGATGGTAAAACGTGAAAAGCTGCGACAGGCTAATGTTAATCATTTCTAACCCTTTCCAACCGATCAACGTCCCATCTTCCCAAGCCTTTTATATTGCTAGATATCGCACTGAGCGTGCTTAAAGGGTTAGAGTGAATATGATGAGCAGCAGCAAAATGTGTTGATTGATGTCTTAAGTTATCTCTTGTGCGGGGTATTCCATTCCACAGAGTTACTTAAAGCATATAGCTAGATTACTAATGCCTACCCTGCGACACTAGACCATATTTTGAGCCTACGAAGTTGCAAAAGAGAGAATTAGCAAGCTGATTACCCTAGAGCTGAGTAGGGTTCCTGTACGAAAGAGTCTGATTGGATAATGTCCTGTTTTGGCATGGCTAGATGGTTTTCTGACGGTTTCCCCGGAGGCTTTTGTCCGGCCAGCATGCATCCTCTAAGCTCGGAGTAGTAAAAAGCGGAGGAGCTGCATAAAAGAAATGCTGTAATTGGTCAGAGCAAAGAGCGATAAAATAATCTAAGCTGGACAGCAAGCAGGGGCGATCGTAGAGACGGCAACACAATCCATTCATGCATGTGAAGTCTCGCGATACAGTCTCAAGCCATCGATCCCGCTTCAGTGTATCGTGTTCTTATTAGAACTACCTACTAATAGATTCCTAGCAATTGGCGACAGAAAATTGACTTAGCATATCGACGTGGTGAACCTTCATTTCATCACTACGTGAGTTTCGCGCAGGCGGCTCGGACCCCAGACATCCATCTTTTACTTTTGCTCCGTCTAAGAACAGGCTGTTCAGTCTTAGATCCACGCGATACATAGGCAAAAATTTTCTATGTCTCAGATAACTTGCAAATCTCGACCGGAACAGGCCTGTCAAAACTATGGAGACCAAATGGCAGTTCCCGGTGAGCAGGCTCTATCTTTCTGGCCTCATCTGGATCGATAAGCCTCAGTTCATAACTTTGCAGCACCATGGAGACCGAGGCGAAGATGACCTGCTTAGCCAACGTCTCGCCCGGACAGCGGAATGCTCCTCCTCCAAAAGGGAAGAAATGTCCCCGCAAGCCGAGTCTTGGCAGAACAGGGAGAAGCAAGGGGGAACCGGCCAATACGGGCTGGCAAGGCAGAGTTCACATATCTTGGCTATGCGAACTATCAGATTATTCAGCTAGCTGTCACTGTGGAATACTATACTGCACAATACAGTATCGCTCGCATATTGTTTTAGTTTCCAGTAATTAATCTACTTCACCTCACCTCTGCATCATCTGCTACAACGAAAAACGAGGTCTCCCCGAAGGTAGCAGGACCATACCTAACGACTGCACAAGTTACCATCTCTGATATACTCTTGGTCCTATACCTACTTACCCACCTACTTACCGCTTCAGGTCAGCCGCATCTGTTTCCGTCCGCTATGATCGAACTGTTGTTGGAGTCGCCTTTGCCTTGTTTCCTCGCTTCAAGCACAGCGTACACGCTCCTCACGTCCCATCAGTTACAGTGCCAATTATTACCCATCCTCATCGCCTCGTGGACCTTTGCATTATTCGTGCATCTCGTGGTCTGGCTGAGCTGGATCTTTCCACGCTACGTATCAGAGCTTCGCCATATCCCTACGGTCCCTGGATTCCCTCTCTGGGGCCAGTTTTTCGACGTCATCACACAAGAATACGGGACTCCACAACGACTCTGGCATCATCAGTATGGCCCTGTCGTTCGCTACTTCTTTCCCTTTGGGTCGGAGAGATTGTCGATTGCCGAAAGGGCCGCTTTGCAGCGCATGGCTTTCGACTGCCCCAAAACTTACGTCGGAAACTGCGCTAAGCCATCACAGGCGCACTCCTTGATAGGCAGAACCCTCCGGCTTGGCTTGTTGCTTGATCAAAGTAGCCAGCACGACTACCGATCCAGCGCGTTAGCATTGGCTTTTTCAGTACAATCCATCAAGACTTTGGTCCCTGTAATTTGGACAATATCATTATGTCTGGGTGAATGTTGGAAGGAAACGAACGCAAGTGGTCGACCCAACGCCACAACCGTTGAGGCACTTTGTTGGTTGAAGCGCCTTACCCTAGACATTATTAGTCGCAAAGTCTCTGCGGCTGAGATGAAGGCGGTGATGTGCAGCCTCCTGAGTACGTACGAGTTCCAACGCCACGAGGTCCTCCTTCATACGGAAGTTTTAAAGGTACGGAGAATGGTGATGCGTCCCCAAGACGGGAAGACATTGAGGGTAGTAAATCCAGATTGATAAAGGCCCGAGAGGGGAGTTGATTACATCTCATCATAATTATGACCTCCTACAGCTGCCCCACATCAGACCGTCAATCGATTCGTCCTGTGATCTCATGGTGGGTCACCCAGTCGAGGGGCGAGCTCCAATCGGAGAGATATGGAGCGGGGCAAAAAAAAAAAAACTTCTTCCGATAAAGGCCAACATATTACATACACAATACTAGCTTTCATTGAGACCATCGACCACAATAAAATTTTGCCTAAGATTTCCCACGAAACTATTCAGCATTATCCGAAAATGAGCGAGAGCGTAAACGCATTCGACCCATTGGAACGTTATGTTAGTGACCCAAGCGCCCTCAGAAAGGCGCTAGACGAATCGAACGCTCTCGTCGATGGTTTTTGGACGCTTTCGGCGTTCGTTAGTGGCGAAAAAGTCTTTCTGGAGCGTCTAAAGCGCCATCCTCTCAGAATCATCATTCCCCGAAAGAACAACTGGGTACCAATTAGCACAGTCCTCGAAAGCGATGGTTACCAGCTGCGTGGTAATTACAGGGCACCACATGGAGGGGTGTTGTTTGTTCGCGAAAACGACGACAACTTATCCTTAGAGTTTGACGACGAAAAAGATCTCGGTTGGAAGAATTCAAAATCGCTGCAGGCAAAAACCCTGCATAGAGTGATGAGCGAGGGATTCGGGTGTTTCATGACTTCCAAGTATGCCGTGCTCGTCTGCGGACTCCAACCTAGGTCTGCAGATGGAGATCCGATTGAAAAAATGCGCAAATCAATTGTTGCTCGATACGAGACACAACCACAAGGAAGTGCCAAGGAAAGATGGACGAAACTCGGCGATAGGATTTGCAGCATCGTGGAAGTGGAGGACGTCGACACAGAGCGGGATTCCTTCAATAAGTTCCTCTCAGGCACCGATGTATTCTCAATGCTTTCGGAGTTGACCCAATCGATCATATTCTCCGAAAGCAACGAACAGTTTGACAACACAACTAGTCAAGCGGTATAGCACATAATACACAATCGATTCAATCCTTTTTTTTTGCCTTTGAAATTTAACTGCTAAACTTGATGAGATATGGTTGACAGAGAGGGAAACAAAAAAGGGGTTTGTGGAAACTTCTGTACACCTCTGAACAACGGTTCTGCACGCCAAGACCTAACACGAAAGAGGAGCCTAGCACAAGGAGCACAAGGCGATTTTGCTAACTATCATCAATCATTTGTGCAGGATCGTGGTAATTGTCTCCGCCGAGAGTCCAAGAAATCTTTTAAGATAGGTAAAGATATATCTCTCAGTTGCCTCTCGATGAATAATAATTTTGAAATTACCAGTATCGTGATCTCGACATACGAGAATATTTTCCTACACCTTGACTGTCACGTTCCAGTGTTCTCGCTTTGCCTTTCTCAAACCCGGTCTAGCTTCCCCGTGGAAGCAATTGGAAATGTAGCGGCCAAGTCTTTTGCTTGATATGAGTCGTACTGATTTCCGCTTTGGAGGATATCGGAATGGAACGCCACCCTAGTTCTGCCTATCGCGAATGATCTTGTTGTCCTTGTCGACGCGCCTAGCCAAGTCCCCGGTGTTCGGTAACCTATTTAAGCACGTACAGCTTCAGCTAGTCTGGTGCGCTCTTATGATCAAGGCTGAGTATATATAGTGCGATGACTAAATGACTTAAAGACCTGAGGAAGGGCACCTGACTTTCACTTCCTCTACAAGTAATCGCCAAAAAGGGTAGAAACTAGCATTAAGAGGTATATAAATTGAAAATGAACGTCAACCCTTTGTGGCGTTGCTTTTTCAAAGGGTCCCGAAGCGAAGACTGCTTTCATTGCATCAAAGAACCCAATTGAATTGAAGGTCATTCCAGGTCTGATCCACAAGCAAGTGAGATCCTCCACCCGCAGTAAGTACATTAATTTAAGACAGTCTCCGCTGGAACTCTAGCCTTTGTCGCATAGAGTATGTCAATAGATTCCTTTGAGACCACACGATACCTCTTAGATAATTCAAGTATGGCATAAGTGGCATCTCCTGCTGGTATTTCGGGTCTCAGTGGATCCTGGGCGAATGTATCGACCTTATCGCCTTGTCCCTAATATTCTGATCATTAGCTGTCTAATGCATTTGCGGTGCATATGGAATCTCTCACCTGATCTGTTATGTTCGTCTGGTGTGATGAAGAGGACGAGTTGTCGACAAGTGCGACCTTTCTGCGGTTGTTCATATCCCCGCATCGAAAATTCCCTAAGTAGGGAAGCTTGACGTCTTTCAGCTCGGAATGAGGCAAACTGAACCTGCGCCTTTTGAGAGCCCTGGTACTTTGCGGTTCTTCCGTGCTCGACCCCCTCTTGTACTCACGGAGCGTAGCGTTAGAAGTCAGATGCTTGGTATTAAAAGAGTTCTCTCCGTGACTGCTTGGCGTGGTCACTGGGACTCTGGAAATAAGGGATGGGCTCTTCGAAATTACCGATATATGAAATCTAAGGTTGGTCGGTCAGCATTCAGCTTTATGAGGTTCTTGGCCGTGACCGACTAGCTCCTACTTGTTGATCCCTGAACGCATCAAATCCGAGGGCATAATCTCATTTGCATCGAAGAAAGTGAAAGCAGATATATCGGGAATGTCTGAACTGAAACCAAGTGTCTGCGTTTGATCGGCAGGATGAAATAAGTGGCAGGCGGCCGATCGATACGTCCCTACTGTCGAAGAGAGATCATGAAGCCAACGAGGGTCGATGCATGACGGCGTAGCGAATTCACTTAGATTATTTCCATAGAGAGAGCTGATCAGTTGAGGATAGTAAGCTTGCGCGTTGGGCTGTGGTTGCTGGAGTTCGATGGGTGGCAGTAGAAAAAAAGGAGGTTGTTGGTAGGTGCATGGCGAACCTACACGATAGTTTTCTTGGGTATGAGGCATTGCGAGATGTTGCTAGCAGCAAAGATACCGGACTGCTCGAAATCTTGAGAAATCTGGGTATTAATAGATATTTATGTACTTCACCACGTTACTCAGGAATCAGGAAACAAAGATACCGGTATGGGTATAATGTACGCTTGACATGTTGGGTGAATAAGCAAATCTCTTAGCAAGGGCCGGGAATGGGGTCAGGTGGCGCCGAAGTGATTATGATCTAGGAGTAATCACCAATCCCGTTCGGGGATGGAACAGTCCAGGGCGCCCGATTTGATGACTTCAACAGGTCCGCCATACATCCAACACATCGTGTGTGATTACAGGTGAAGGATAAAGGAGAATGTAGTTAACAGTCAAGTGAGGAGGACTGCATCTCATTGGAAGCCCCACCACATCAACCAAGGATACGACGGCGCAGCATCGTACCGTCAGGTTTTCTTTCTAATCGCCCAACGTCCCCCCTTGATGAAGCTGTATGGATGGGCTCCAATAACCGGTAAGGAACCTCTTTGCTCCAAAGGATCCCGGTAAGAAGGCTCTCAGGCCTTTAAAAATTATTCTTCGGTGTACCGCAGTGGGCGTCAAACCCACGGTCGGGACAACACTCGGCCTGACTCCACTGTCTCTTTCCCATCAAGCAGTTACCATTGTGAATCCTTGGCTGTCTCGTGAATGATATTCTGATGCTGAACCAAGTCCTTAGGTGCACTAAGCCTCGCTCACCCCATAGCCCATCTAGGTGCCGTCTCATGCAGAGCCGAATCCTCACCATAAGCGAAGTATGCCTCGAGACCAGAGCCAGGCTGAAAGATTCTTAGGCTCAACCAATTTCAGTTTTCATGGGCCTCCTCAATCTCTGGGAGATGATGTGGTATCGTCTTGTTACTAGGGATAGCTTGGTTCCGGAATGGATGTATGTTTCAAGTAGTAAAGGGAAGGTGACTCAAGTAGTTGCGTGAATTTCAAATGTAGAAGCACACCATACAAGTAACATGACTTACTTGGCGGGGGAGAAATGTAATAGGAATGGCAAGCGGATATAGGTCCTCGCGGCCTAAGGGCTGATATGCAGGATCAATCCTGCTGATACTGATAGTTCGACTCAGGGGGTGTAAAGATACAGCAAAAGGTTGGCCCTATTTAAAAGGTGACAAACGGTCGGCCCTGCAGAAGATCATGATCTGTTCCCCATGCATCTCTTGTTTTACCATCACTGTATCTACTGTCACTACGTCTATTCACTTGAAATTCTGCGCAATCAAGCCTACAAACGATCATACCGGCATGAGTTTCAGCCAGCAATCTGACATCCTGTGGACCTCGCTTATGGAAGATCCGTGTCCCGACCAAGCCGATAGATCTTTTGATATCTGCTCAACGGCAACAGATCCAACTTCTAGCAGTTATCTTGAAAGTACTCAAAATGCTGGTCAAGGTCTGTACTCAACCCAGCCTTGCGAGACTCTCAAAGTTCTATTAAACCTGCGCAGTTACTGCAGTTGGCAGTGGAGATGAAGAAGTTGAGCAGAGAAATTCGCATACTCAAGCGCCTTGTTCGCCGGCGCAAGAAACCCAGATATACTCGCTACGGACACATCCGGGCCCCGGTATAATTACATTGGAAGCTTGCCACTCACCACAAGTCACCAAATACGCCAACGACACCAATGGAATCGGATGACCTACATTTGTCATGTTCACAAGTCATCCCGTGTACACCTAGCGAAGAGCATACTGTGGGTGAAGACAGGATTACTCAGACGGATTCAGAGGACGAGGGCAAGTAGCATCTCGTTGGAAGTTGGTGGAAGGTGCTGTCACTATCCTTATGTCGTTGTAGATAGAAAGCATGACGGCTTTGTGGCATCAGGAATGAAGAGTTTCAGATGACAGCTATTTTCTCCGAACAACACCCCCTAGTGTAGGATCTTGGCTTTGACGCCCATTTTGGCTTTGCCATCCTTCCGAGTGCTTGGCGAGCTTGTCGATTTTTAGCGCCTACTAACGTTGGAACCGAGTCGCTATCACCTGGTATGGCACTTTTGAACCCCTATACAAGTTGTAAGCAGATGATAAGGGGAGAAGTCAGTATCTCGTATTTCGATTAATATTTAACTCTCAAATTTGAGCTTAGTCCACGGGTATTTGTTCCTTCGGCGCCAGAGGCCATGTTTGTTGCCTTCGCGCTAAGCCACAAATCCAGACTGGGCTGCCCTATCCTGGCGCGTTTCCGTTTTCCAAACTGGATAGGTCCAACATCTCGACGCCTCTCCGAGTTAACGGAAGACCATGCTGCTTCAGTTCTTGCACCAGCCGTATCGCGTAGCTAGGCACTCGACTGAGAAAGTAGCTGACTGCCCAGCCTCTTGCTGGGCCTGAACAATGCAAAGAATAATGATGCACGAAATCGAAACAGTGAAGCAGTCCAGGATTTTGACGGAGGCAACGCCGGATATCTTCGGTGAAGAGCGAAGAACCCAAGATCCTGCATAATTGAAGGAAAACTCCTGTATGGATTCGCGCACCCCAGCTCTGGAATAGACCGGAAAGATGAGTGTCTGTGTGATCAACGGATAATGCCGTCTGCAAGAGGGCATCCAGGAAATCTTCAAAATCACTGGCGGAAGATACCATGACATTTCTAAGACTTTGTGTATCATGGCAGAGTAATTTCAGAAGCCTTTCCAAAGAAAGAATCTGCTGATTCTTCTGGGATGGTGACACCCGTTCCGTGGCAATTGAAAAGATAAGCTCCGACGTCTCGTCGATTTTCAGGGATCCCCGCAAAAGTGAAGAGCCCGAGTCTAGCAACCAAAGAATAGATAAAAATGCATTGTCACTGCAAAATCGTCGCATCGCAGGTAACGCACGGGCGCCCAGTTCCACTAAAGTCGGTATCATCGGTCCTTTTCTATGACAGACAGCCAACACCAAAGGAGTGCATCCGTATCCTAGGTCGGCATTGACATCCACTCTATTCCGCTTCACGATGATCCTTACCAAGCATGTCAGACCTTCTCGTATACTTGCCTGGAATGCCTCCAAGTTTGGAGGACACAGGCCTCTCGAAGCGCCTCGCCGGACTATCAGCACAGCTGTCGTTTCTTGATGGTTGAGGATCGCTTCCATTAGTGGTGTCTTTCGGGTGAGATGCAGGCCCTCTTTGTCATCGACATCGAGACCCTGGTCGATGAGATAGCTAACGATATCATCCAATCCTCTGCGTGCGGCCAGATGAAGTGGCGAGAAGAGAATTGCGTCGACGCGATGAAAGGACAGAGGATGGGATTTCCTAGCGTCCTGGCATTTTGTGAAATCGGCCCCTCCCTCTTTGGCCGCCGCGAGGATTCTTAACGCATCATGCCGGTCTCGGCAGTGGACGATAGCAAAAAACACGGCCGAGCATCCATGGTTTATGACGTCATTTCTGTACAGTATAGGTTTGCAAATGCTGTAGAGCATGCGGCACGACTGTGAGAGCGAAGCCTGACCACCAAGCGAGCATAACTTTGCGATCATACAGATAATCTCCGTGGGTAATGAGGAAATCATGCCAGGCCAATTGCCCTATACTTCGCCATATCGGCCGAACCAAAAGTTTGTCTCTGAGATTTCGAACGCTGGGCGTAGCTGCTGCGAACTTCGGGAAAGGAGAGGGTAATGACATGAAGACGACGATGCCATTCTCAAAAGCAAAGAAGATACCGTGTAAAAGGTTCAATGAATAGCCTTTGCGAAGCACAATCACGTAAGGCAATTATAGATTTAGCCGTAGCAGATGAAAGAAAAGCCTAAAAAAGCACGTCACTTCAGAGCACCAACGTTGGATGATAACATGTTTGCCGCCTGGGCAGCAACGGCAGTTAAGAAATGACGTGTAGAGAAATTCAAGTCGATAGTCCGGTCCTAATTTCTACTTCGAGCTTCTTTTCTAAACGACTCTTCAAGGTAGTTTGCTGCAGCGAAATCCCACGCGCAACGTCCTTGAATGAAAGGTATCGCATGCCAGTTCGGTTGGCAAATTGATATTTTTAGTACATGCATGACTAGTACGCCAGGTACGGCCCCTGGCGTCTTTCGGCCCCAACAGCATGGGAGTGCCTTTGTGCTCGGCCATCAATGGCCCCTCTTGAGACCAACTTCTTCTGGCCGTCTGTCTCCTAGAAGATTTGACTAGTTCTAATCGAAAGACATATTCATCTATCAACGAATTTGCATACATATTGCATTAATAAGCAAGTGGGTGTAGTATATTTCAAGTTTGAAAATCAGAATAGGGAAGGATAGACAGGTCATGTATTGCGGTATTGTGCCGTCATGCGGGAAGTTGAGGCCGCGACAGTATGTTTCTTTAGTCGCCGCATTTCAGATGACATCCACGCTGCTGGCCAGGCCTAAAACTCAATATAAAGAGCCAGATGACCAGATGGCAAGTTGTCTACTGAACTTAAGCTTCATGATATTTCTTTGTACTTTTTTAACCTCCTCGTCGTAGCTACATTTTAGAGATGATATCGCTCCCCAAAAAGGTGTTTTGCGCGCCTATCTACTGTGGCCCTCAAGAAATGAGAGACGCTGTCATAAGAGAACTTGAGTCTTTAGAAAACCTCAAGCCTGTTCCATGGCTTGTTGCCTCTACAGTCTTCTTAAATAAGGATGGCTCTTTCTCTCTTAAAGTGATAGATGAAGGGTCCCTTAAAATAGGTATGCAGAAAGTATCTTCATTTATGGTCAATCTCTTTTACTCGCCAAGTCGAAAAGTCCCGGAAGAACAGCAGAGACTACACTATGCTCGGCGAAGACTGCTAATCTCACTCCTGGCGCATGCGTGGCTCTGGAGGAGACACAAAGTATTGGATAACCAAGGCAACCCGGTGGCCTTTGAAGACAGGAGAGTCCTTGCACCTGAAGATATCCTTAAGTTTCTTAAGGATACTCAGGTTCACACTAGGCAATGTCGCTGCGAAAATGTCCGAGATTTCTTAGAGAAGAAGGTTCAGGAAGTGCCTTTACTTGAGGATACGTCGAAGTGGAATGTGATGTGGGTTACTGCATGTCTATGGTGGGATAAGTCACATGATTTACGAAAACATGACGTACACAAAGGCCCATGGTGCTCCTGTCGTCTCGAGAATGCAAATCGGCTTCCAACGCTCTGTTTTGCCGGACCAAAAATGGTAACGACGGCTGCAGCTGGTCTGGCCCAAGTACGCCTGCCATCTTACCGCGAAGCATCTTGCCACGAGGCTTGCCCACCTCCTTATCAGCAAGCTTGCCCAATCGAGAGTCAAAATGCATTCCAAGAGAGTTAAGTACACCATAGTAGATAGCGAATTGTGGATGATATGGAGACACAATGATAGTGAGAGAATGGGATGTTAGGCAGAGACTGATTAGGGTATGTGTAACTTAACGAGTCTACAGTAGGCATTGTATGTAAGCATTAGTGAATAGTACCCTATGGCCAACACAAGCCGCCTGGCGTAATAAATTGTATTGTTTTGTACCGTCAAATAATGAAGGATGGTTTGTACCTATCCTTCGTGCATCTGACTCACAAGGTGGATGACTTGCTTGTGCCAATACAGTACCACTCAAAGTTCCCATTTCTTCAAGCGAATTTGATGTGCCTTATGTAGAATCGAAGCATCTGATGAAACTATGAGATTGTAACCGCAGGCTGTCGAATTGGTTCTGGCCTACCTGTTGAGGACAGTTTTCGTAAATCTCCTCTCTCGGATGTTCCGATACATCTCCATTTGGCCATTTGAGAAAAACGTGATACGTACTTGTTGATTCGTCAAATTCCATGTGATCTATGTCAGCACAACCCCATTGGATGCTGGGCCCTTTGTTTTGCGCGGCTGAATGGCCTCCAGCGTCAGTAATGTCGCTCTTGGTAGCGAATCTTTTCCGTGATCGTGTTCTCATGGCGATTGACAGCCTCGGGACTTAATTAAAAAAGTTTCTTGCAAATAAAATGAGGGAACGCTCGTTTTTCTTCTGTTGTTGCTAAGGACCTGTGGCGAATCTAGCAGTTATACAGCCAAAGGCTATTTATTGTAAATCATTATATCATCTTCCTGGCCTTATTTGATCTGAGATTTTGGATCAAATTTGGCCATTTCCTACCATCACCCAATGTCCAAGATACGGAACAAAGATTCCGTATTTGACCACAAGCGGCCAATTTCAGCGCATGAATCCGCAACCAGTGGCCGACTTAGTATGCTTCCACCTTGAATCCTTCAAGCCCAAGGCCCTCGGAGCTGTAGGAACATACATCTTACACAAGGCGAGGATAAAGCAATAGCATTCTATTTTAGATCAAATTCGGAATATACAAAGTACATATCAGTTACTTGTGTGTCAAAATTCGGCATTTGATACAAAAACGATTCCTCACTCGCAGCTTTTCTTTTCTTTTCTTCTCTCCAGCATCGACACTTAATTTGGCGACTTCATCCCCTGTATTCAAGGGAAGGAATAATGCAGAAGACAAGCAATAGCTTTGAATGCATCCGAAGTACCTTCTGAGAATTTCAACTCTTCCGCGCACTGGTCTTTGCCTTTTGTATCTGTTCGACCTGCTAACAATTCTCGCTCATGGATAGAAATTGGCAGCGCCGTAGCGCTTTGAATAAGTATAAAGCTCCACGCGAGGATTTTAAAGTTCATGGCGAGAGTTGGGTTAATGGCGCACGCGATCTTGGCTGCTATCGTGCAACCACAGGAGAGGCTTTTCGAAGCAAGCCGATGACAAGGCAGGCTCAAGACACGAAACAGCATGGGCCCCATCGTTTATATAGTCCCCGCACTATTTTCAATAGAAGCTGTAGTCTAGGGCTGAACCAATGAGACAAAGAAAATCCAGACCGGCCAAAAATGACTTTGGAGTCTTTTACTTCCATTGCTTATCAGTGGATCTTCTCGTCGAGTTGTGGGCCCGTTTGGGGCTCTTGTGTACGTCAAGAATCGGCCCATGGCAATTCAGGGACCTTTCCCATCCAGGTGTACTACTATCCTACGGTCATTTTTGCATTCAGTCTTGGATTTATTTACTAAGAGAATCGGGATAGTCTCCTTCTTTCTTTCTGTTCGACTCAATGATCACCTTTTCTATTGTTCATGATCGTATTTTCTGCCATACCATGTTGTCCTTCCGATTACTCTACTCTCATCCAGATGAAAAAATTCTATAGCACAGTATTCAAGTGTTTTTAAACCGGGCACACGACCATTATGGCTAAAACAGATGATAACCATGAGAATGACAGCATGTAAGTGAAACGTTTGTCACCAGCTTTTCTAATATCATGTAGCCTGGACTGCTATATTCATACTGATCTGAATTAGATACTTAGTAGATTCTATCCAGGATCACTTCGTTGATGAAGACGTAAGGGCCATATTAGATTTTGATTGTTTGCTTTCTACCTTATTCGTCGCGTTTAGCGCGCCACCTAAACATTTCGTTATTTACCTTCTGTTCCTCGTATTTCGTGGACGACGGAGGTTATACGAATATTTTCGCTTAGGCCATCATCGCCTCTACCATTCTAGGCTGGCACGACGCTGATAGATACTAGGGCTGCGTGTATTTCCAAGTGAAATGGCAAGGCCATGAGAGCAGCAAAGAGTGGACGTGGGAGCCCCAGACGAATCTTGAGTCAGTTGCCTGTTTCCTGCCCCTACGCTCCGCCTAGCTGACCCTTGAAATTCGGAGACAGAGTCGAAGGCGATATGTTGGTGAAAGAATATTTCGAAAGCCTCGCCAAGAGACGGAAGAGGGTCCGAAGGTCTGCGAAGAAGCAACCAAGTCCATCCGTCGCTACGGGTGGCACTGGACGTGGCAGGAGGAATGAACGCCATCGAACTGTCCCCTCAGGCCGCATAGCAAAGTTGGCGTGGGAACCCCCACGAGGTAGTTGGGAACGTGAACCTTTCCATATCGACGGCTGCGGAGGAGACAGCGCAGAAACCCTGATGATCTACATTACCTGGCTCGGAGGTCACAAGACCAGGCATAAAATGGATGTGCTCTGCAAAAAGTGCCCCCAGAAAGTAAGAATATCTTGATTTCATAAATCACCAGTCTTGCGGGATCCTGACAATCTTCTTATCTTAGATGCTCCGTTACCTTGAACAGTATGTGTCAATGTCGTGATGACATGTTTCGAGCACCGTTACGTGAGCACGACTCGCTAGATGGTGGTGCGGAGAAGTGGAGGATATGTCAATGTGTCGCAGGGTAGGCATTAGTAATCTAGCTATATGCTTTAAGTAACTCTGCGGGATGGAATACCCCGCACAAGAGATAACTTAAGACATCAATCAACACATTGCTGCTGCTCATGATATTCACTCTAACCCTTTAAGCACGCTCAGTGCGATATAATGTAATTATGCAGTTCAGAAAGGCCCATTTGTACTGAAAACCTTGAGGGTTTGGCTTTGAAATACCGACAGACCAAGAGGGTGACTGCGAATGGCCGCAGGGTTGAGGATTGATAAACAAATCAACTACATAGTAGTTATCTACTCTGATCTCGCCGCCAAGAGACATGAGGGTCTATCTTGTACTTCTGAAGCATCCCAGACCCCATTGGATAGATGGTTGGGTAGGGATGAGATTAATTGAATATGCTGTTGAGTATAGTAGTGGCCGCCTGACACCTCTTATCTCGTACCTGTTTCCATCTAGAGAAGCCAGAAATGGAGCTCCTGAGAGCGATCACATTGATCCGTCAAACACTAAGAGACTCAGCTCTGGACGGCGTCCATACAGCTCCGGTTATGGCTATAAATATGGCTGGTTCGCTTGGGAAGTTGACTGCATCGTCTCGCCCTTACCATCGTGGAACAGCTGGTGATCAGAATGCTTCTGGAACCCCTTAACTTCGGAGGTCATAGCTCAAAGAGCGAGGAATCGAATTTGGATTATTGTCACGATCTGCCTGACTATTGCAGTCCGTCGAGCCATGGGTCGCTTGGTACTCCCCGCCAAACAATTTGTCCACTTTCGGACGCCCAGGAGCCCGAATCCACTTCTAGCGAATATGAGCCAGTATTGAACGACGTACCGACATGCGACTCGTTTGGTCCAAATGTTAGTATGCAGGAGAAAATGGAGGAAATGAGCAGGGAGCTAGACATTCTGAAGGCTACTGTTCTTTGGATGCAGGGCGTACAGGACACACAGAATAGGGTCATAAGCATGCTATTGGTATCACAAAGACGGAATACCAGGGTTGGGGGATCGCATGAGGCCAGGAGTTGAGAACAAGCGACCAGGAGTCTGATTACAGATATAGTCAATTGTGAAATTTGAAGCTTCTCGCCTGATCAAATCTAGCTCCGGTGCCAGTTTTGGCCAAAATTGACGTCCAGATTTGACAGGCATAGTTTATTATTAGACGATAAAGGACGTCACTGAATGTGTAGTGTATTTTAACATAACAATGACCGCTATGTTCGTACTTCGGTGCGTGAAATCTTATAATACAATCGCACTCATCTCCCATGGCATCTTATGAATTAAATAAGGATGCGACTTGCACCCCAGCCATTGTGCCAAATCAGAAGACACCATATAGAAGAAATCCATAAGCACGCTGCTGTAGATACGCAAAGTGTGATCGGTCCACCGCTCTGAAGATGCAGCGACTCGATCCATATAAAGGAACCGGCGATATGGGCCAAGAAACAAGCGAGGATGGGTTACTCTTACGACGATGCAGGGACAGGCTTGCAGCACACATTGGTTAGTGCATAACCCGCGAGAGCAGAACTTGCTCGTCTAACAGAAGTAGAACGGAGAACTGGTGTCAAGGTTGAACCCGCCGAGGTTAGTTTGACGACGAACCAGAGTCATGCTTACACGTGGACTTATACGGCGGAAGTAGCCCATTTGTTTTCCCAGGATCTCGACGACCACGGAATCGAAGCATACCAAAGGCTTTGTATAGAAGCGGGAAGAAGCTTCCATGCCGTGTCATTCACCAAGAGCGACTTGGCAGGCAGTCAACTGCGCTCGGGAAGCCCACCACCATTCTGCGTACCAACGTTCAACGTAGATGCAATGGAGTCTAGCAATGTAACTGAGCGCGTAAGTATGCTGAGCCACCAGCTCTCCATGATGGAGACGAGTACAGCCTACGACGCAATCACCCGGATGCAACTGCAGGAAAATATCGCCACCCTGGAATACGAAAACGAACGTCTCGCGCAAGAAGCCAAACAGCAGCGGGAGGATGCGGTATATCACCGGGGTTTCTTTTACAGGCTCTTAGAAGCCACAGATCAGCTGAACTTGACCATCGGGGATATTCACCAGGATTACATTAGAACAGTCAACGTTAGTATGTTTCCGAAAGATGATATTGCATCACGCTAGTTGAGGAGATCTTCATCTTGAATATGCCACGTGTACTGTTTTGCAGTATAGCACAAGTGGGAGGGCATGTGGGGAGTTTCGCATGGCCCAGTCTGGTAATGTGAGAGATCTTATTGTTAATATGGTGGCTATAGATAAATAAATAAATCCCGTTTTCTTGAACGCAGCTATGGTCAGAGATGTTGACATCGATATACTCAAACTATGTTCGGAATCATGAGTCCATCGATTTCCAAGTCTAGTAGAATTGAGACGGAGCGTGGCATTTGCGGTGAAGAACAAATCTCTTCGATGCTAGATATGAAAGAAAATTGATGCAGAGATACTGACGGCATGTCATCTAAGAATACAGTGGCTTTCGGCGGATTATTAAAGTGAGGTATGGTGTCTGCTGTTGGATTTCAGAGCATGCTTACTACAGCATAAGCACTACGAGGAGGGATAGAGAAAAAGAAAGAGAAAGAAATCAATGTGCAGCGTAGAGGTTTACGCATAGAAGGTCGCCAGTCGTGCGTAACCTCCGGTCTACACACATCGTCTACATCTTACGCGTCTACAATGATGGCATTCGAAAAACAGGCCTTGTTCTGGGTTTTTGCAATCAGGACAGATCCATTCTATCAGACACCTGTTGGCCCTTATGAGCCACGAATGCTGATCACCTGGCCCTGAGTCACAGACGTCTCCAACGTCCCTGGATGATACTAGATCGGCCGACGTATTGGTTGACGAAGGTAGGTATGGAATGTAAGGGTCAGTGCCATCCTGGTCCTTTGCACTTTGGCAATATTGCGCGCAGCCACATAATTTGTACGAGATTGTATTCATGGCCAGACAAGCGAGTACACGCGTACACGTTGTATTGGAAAAGCTTTCGAGTGCATTCATATAGCCACAGGCGGCAGAGAGGTCTTTTAATATATCCATGCGTAGTGACGACCCAGGCCTTATCTGGCCGAATGCGGGAACCTATAGCTTTCGTTGATTGAAGAGTGAGCCATCACCTCTAGACCCTTTACAAACAAGACCGCACGGCACTGATTGGGGCAGATGTGACGGGCGATGATGACGTCAAGATACGTCTTGTTTTGTATGAACTATGCTTCCCGAGCATGCTTCATATTTCACACCGCACATGCGTGGTAACCGCCATACTAAGGCCAATTTCAGTTCTGCTTCAGGGTGGATGAACCATTGACTTACGTAGGGGCAACAAACAACATTCATTGAAACCTGGACCGGATAATAACGGACGAATTATGGTAGTTCTCAGGTACTTGCCATTTCAGTAGAGATGATTAATGATCTGTTGACATTATTTTACCTATGATATGATCGGTCTCAAATTCAACGTGGTGCTGTGAAGTTCAAGGCCATACAGTACACAGTATACAGTAGTGCATTCACGAATGCTGAGCTGTCTTCCATATTTTTCATCAATGGTAATGTCTCCTGCCTTGATTGTCCAAATACATCGAAATGCTTCAACGTAAGTCCGACGAGAGCATCCAGCTATGGATCTTCTGAGCCTGACAATCCCCTCAATTTGATAGTAACGAGAGAACTGGGCCCTTCGTCGACACTTGTTCTTGCAAGGTTATTCCATCATTATAACTACATCTCGCTATTTACAGCCAACCTGGGCACCATATCGCTCGCGTTCACAGCGCTTGCTGTGGCGGGAGCTGATGGCCTGACCGAAGGATCTTCCGCCGTAGTGGCCATTCTGATGAGCGCCACAATGACCGCCATTGTCGCCATCATGATCGCGATAATGCACCGATCAAAACCTTGTTTTCAGAGGCTCGATCTCATCGCAGCCTCGACACCTCTGGTCTTGGTCGATCTCGTCGTCCTCGAGATCTTGGTTGGCCTTCTCGTGTGGTACACCAGTAGCTTTACGGCAAGATTTGCTACGTACCTAGCCATAGAGCTCTTGGTTCTCATGACTATGATGGTGTTGGTAGCGATATGGGTCTGGAGGAAGATTAGGATCTTAATTCGTCTCGGCCATTTCAACAGTGTCGAGTCATATAACGCCATCGACGGCCAACAGGTCCAAAAGTAGCACACAAAAAAGACGGCAAGAGGCATTTGCATGATTCAGCAACACTGTAAACTGAGAAACGGAGCGAGCGGCTTGATCGAATTTAATTCCAGCGACGTCTCGTAGGAATACAAACTGCTATTGGGAGATGCCCGGGTACTTAGGATAAGGGCTTACGGATCTTGTCTTTGACTATATCTAGCTTAACTCGTACACCTTTAAACCAGAGTGAATGACATTATCCACCGGAGCCGGAATAAATAAGGCTTAATTATGCATCAATTATAGTTATATGGAAAGACAATGCTACATCCTAGGTGATCTACGACCACGCGAATATGAAACAGACATGCCACGACCGGAAATACAGACCAGCATGTTGACTGCTTCAAGGACTAGATTGGCACAGTTCCGATTGATATTGCATTGCATTGTTTCTGGTAAGTACAATACTGTACAGTCCAGTACAGTACAGTAAGGATCCAACTTAATCAAAGCTTACCAATATTTCCTATCTTTGCCCCAGTGAAAGATGATTGTAGGCAAGATAAATCATCAGAAGGCCGAGCGCCGTGCTAGGGGTTGCGTTAAGGAGACTTCCGGACTGAACAATGGAGTATATGTTGCTCTAGGTTGATTTACCAAGCGCTCACAATACTAGAAACCCCTTGAGCCAATCCTCGCCCATTAATGCACCACCCAGGGAAAAGTGTCCCATAATGGCGTTTCACTAGGTTAGTTAAGACAATGAGGATTGCGAATTCATCCAAACTAACCCATGTTCCCACATATGACAGCTAATGCGCCTATATAGACCGACGTCTGTTTTCGAACATGTATTTAGCGCCAGTTTTGAGGGCTGGACAAGTGTCATGTCAATACCTAGAATGTGTCAAACATTGCCGAAACCTGTACTTACTAAAAGCCGATGGAGGCTGACCTCGTAAGATTCATTATCAACCCACGAACCCATACCTGCGGAGAACCTATTCATGTAAACCAAGAGTCTGCCATCGTTCTGAAAGCATCGAGTCGTTGATATAATTTTTACTGAGAGAAATGTTCCACTCCAAGACGATCCTCAACCAAGAGATTTGGCAACGCGACTATGATGTTGTTCCCCCCGCACGGCCAGTAGACGTGGCGTTGCACTATGAGAGGGCCAAATCGATGTGTCGACATAGCGGTGCGTACAACTATCTTTCTCGGCGAACTAGGCTAAGATCGTCGCATGGTAGATCTGACGTTGCACGATATCGAGAAGTTAACCAAGAGGTTTTGGGATTTTCATTTCGACAGTAAGCCTCAACAGATGATGGTTTCGCATAGTGATATTGTCTAACGAGTCCATGAAGTGATTGCCGCTCGCGACATGACGGCTTTCATTATCGCAGCAATCCATGTGAACCTCTGCATAGGAACGCTCAGCCATTTCGCCAAGGCGCGTCCAGACCTACAAGACTTGCTCACAAAGTTACTGAGTTTTGAAATTTGCGGTGAGTTCATGCTGACGGAGATTGGTCACGGTTTAGATGCTCGCAACCTGGAAACCACGGCAACGCTGCAGGCTGATGGCTCTTTCGAGTTGCATACTCCTACCACAGCAGCATCAAAAGTAATGCCTCCTACAACACCATATTGCGGAATACCACGGGTCGCGATCGTTTTCGCCCGTCTGATGGTCCGAGGGAAGAACCAAGGCGTAAAGCCTTTCATTGTGTTTCTCAGCGACGCAGATGCGATGCGACCTGGAGTCTCGTCGCGAATATTACCGACAAGACCTGGTACCAAACCACTGGATCATGCAATTACGACATTTAATCGTGTTCAGTTGCCCTATAATGCCCTGCTTGGTTCACCCGCTAAGCCAGAGAATGAGCGTGCCGAGTTTCTGTGCCATATTCGGCGTGTTGCTGTTGGAACGTTGTCGCTTTCCATCATGGGCATATCCGCTATCAGAGTCGGAACACGTATAGCTGCTCTCTACAGCGAGCGAAGAACTATCACGGCGCCCGATGGACATTCGGCTATGCCAATCATCGGCTTCAGCACTCAGCAGCGCCCTATCGTCGAAGGATGGGTCCAGGGCAAGATTTTGACCGCATTCGCCCATTGGGCTGTGGGCATGTGCCCGGACCCTGCCCATCCGACGCAACACGCGCTTGCCACGATCTTTAAAGCGACAGTGATCAAAGCATCACGGGTCTTGGGGGAACTCGCCGAGAGATGCGGATGGCGAGGCCTTTTTGCATTCAATCAGATCAGTGAACTGGACTTGACCTTTCAGGGGAACTCCATAGCTGAAGGCGACACGCTGGTACTATGTATTCGTGCGTACCTAAACTTTCTTTAAATTTGCCATATTGGCTTAACAATGAACGAATGACTGACAAATTCTCTTCCTAGGTTTGGTCTCCGAGCTCCTTGGCGGCAAACTACAACTTCCAACCTGTCAGAACGCGTTAGCGCCCTTGGCGCAGCAAGAGCACCAGTTAATGACCGAAATTCAATCAAGACTTACGGAGATTGGAGGATACGGAAAGCATCGGACCGAGGCTTTCAATCAGCACATTCTGCCATTTTGCCGACCGTTGGTTGAAACGATCGGTCACCGTATGGCTTACGAGGCCGCTCAATGTTCAGGGATCTCACCGGACGTCCTGGAACTGTACGAACGTCTATCTACCGGCAAGGCCTTGATCCATTTACCAGCCCAAGACGTATCCAGAGTGAGATGCGAAGATCCCCTGGTAGACGAGCAGTACGAAACAATCATAGCTCAAATTAGATCGGAGGCCCATTATCATGATCCGATCGACGATTACATAACGGCGCCGATCGTATCCGAAGAGAAGTGGGAGAACTTTACTGAAAGTTTGCTTTGCTTCTTCCCCCCAGCGAGTCTTGATAAATGCAAACCGAAACTTTGAAGAATGAAGAGCTGACAAGGAGCTGATTGGCTGAGCCTTCAAGGAGCCCTCTCATTATGTTTTCTGTACAGAGAACAAGCTAAGAGAGGAATTAATTGATGGCATCCGGTTTTGGCATGTAATAAATGGGTTTGCCCTTCGACCAGCATGTATTTCCTGATCCTAAAGCAATAATAAGTGGAGGAATTGTATTTACCACCTACTGTGATTGGCCAAGAACAAGACGGATGATACAGGCCAGCTCGATCAGCCTGCAAGCCGTCGGTCTCGAAATAGCGATACAATTCAATTCAAGTGAAAAAGAATTAAAAAAAAAGAAGTAAAGCAATTTTGAAGAATCAGGTGCCTTCACTCCCATATATAGGAACCATGTCTTTGTCATACGCAAGAGTAGTTCATCCAGCTTGTCACTTACAATTTAAATTTAAATATCAATCATCATCCTTATCATAATTATACAGTATCCAAGAGTTACAGTGTCATTCCTCACTCCATGAAAACATCCAGACGCCCGACACGAATGTTAACGGGGTTGTTCTAACTCGCCTTAGAACGATATCCTGATCGTAGAAAATTCAAATAAGGATGAAAGTTACAAGAATGGATAACACACAAAATGAGCTTGAATCCGGGGGCAAAGTAGGAGTCATCTATTTATACATGAAAGCATGTTCGTTGTACGTATATACATTTATGAGACTAAATTTGCCACCCGAATTTGTGTTTCGTACATTCAAGCTCCGAGTTATCCCCCTCTATTCTCTCTTTTCCCGTCTCCAAAGATGGTTCTTATGTCATTATTTTATTCCTGCTTAACATTGTCAGAAACACAACCAACAGGACACGGTTCGTGGTTGCATCTCTAACGCATATCAGCCAGGTATAACGGCGTAGAACCTGGATTACCGCTTGACGCAGAGCCTTATTTACTGGGCAGATGGGTTGTTCTGCAGTGGTCTAGGTATGACTCTCGGCTTGAAAATGAATGAGGGGATGGCGCTGCGGATCGCTCAAAGTCTTGCACTACTTTCCTAGAGAATAGTGATGCCGTGACTTGGCTAAACCGTAGTTTGATTCCAAATTTCGTCCACTGATAACGCCAAGAATCTCGCTCAACAGATGGCAAGACTGTTACCCTTTCATCCTCTTCTCGTATTCGGTAGGAGCCATGTCCTAGATGAGACCGTTTGAGGTATGTTCGAAATGTCATGAGGCAGGAATATCTGCCTACTTGTTGTTAGTTATTGAAGTAATTGCAAGCCATAAAAAACAACTTCGGCTTTCCAACAAGTTAACAAAGAACAGAATATTAATTTACTGCCATATTCAGAGGTGGCAAGCGGAAATTGTGCTTTCAGAATTATGGCCTAAAGTGAAGGCTATGTAAGTATTAGGACCTGTGGCGGAAAGAAAAGAAAAGAAAAGAAAACGTAGCAAAATATGGCCTCTAAATCATTGCAGACTATGGCCCTTGTTACTTTATCATAGTTGATCCCTTCAAGCCCGGTCGTTATTCGTCCCGTATCAAAGCCATATGGCTCATAGTTACAGCAAACTACATTGTCTTCGACCAATTCATCTAGCCATTATAACGATCTATTCCGTTGAACCGTATTCGCACATCTTGGGCACATAATGGAGGCTCAAGTAAGGACAGTCCTGAGGGAATTAAATACTCTCGCCTATCCATTCGTAGTTAAAAGTTATTGATAATAACCAAAGATAACCGTGATGATAAGAAGGTTGGCAAATGGCAAGATCACCGTACTGCATAGACTTGATCGGTCAGTAAGGTTTTATGTATGTAAATAGCGAAGGTATCTATAACATGGTGTCTGGAATGCGGTTACGACTTGCCACTGCCTGGTCCGGGTGCAAGCCTATGACTCTATCTACCCTCTTAGCTAATTGTGTCTGATAGTAACCAGTTTGGCGGGTTTTGACCGATCTGTATCAGAATGCTTTTTCCTCAGAATGCCACCCTAATGGACGTTTGGATATGTGGAGTCTCACATGTACAATTAGTCTCACGGTGAGGTTCTTGACTCTTGTCTTTTTTTGGCCATCCAGCACGTAGGAAGTGATTATTTCAAGCAGGATAAGTATTACTTTCCATGCCTGCCCTCAAAGTTAGCCTTCATTCAAAACCACGGTCTAAAGATTGAGCATTTGACAGCGCAAACGGAAGGTAGCAGCGTCGTTGCCTTGACCCCAGCTTTAACCTACTGCTGACAAGAGTAACCGAGAAGTCTGATCTTGTCGGCCTCCATAATACTGAAATCCACGCATCTCAGGTCGCTATCACACTATCCCCAGGGTATACAGAGCATGACCGCTAGTATGGAAGACAGCAGAACCGAGCCATGGCTACCATGGGCTGGTTTACTGCTGGAGGCTGGGACTCAGCGTCTCCTTCTCAGCTCGGTCTACGTCCTAATCTTTGTATACCATACGCGCCGCAGTCTACCAGTCTACCGTGCCAGTTGGCATCAGGAAAGGATTTTTACCTTGACACTGCATATACTGTCTGGTGTCATCGAGTTGGCCAGGTACTATCTACGTGCGATCGAGGGCACTGTCCTGCCGGACATTATGGACACAATCTTGTGTTTGATCCATTCCTTGACAACTCTGAGACTTGCCAGGCCACTATTGAGGGGCAATGAAACGACACGGGCGGCTTACCAGGCGCCCGCCATCATACGACCGATACTGGCTGTCATGGCGATCGTTCGCAAAGATTCCAGTTTGCATGGAGCTGTTGTCAAACTACTGCACGCTTTCCTCTATACCCGGTTGCTCATCTTCGCATCTAAGCGAATTAGATTGACCAAGGTTCAATCTCAATCCACCATATACGCCCAATCTGTTTTTCTAGGTGCTGTCTTGGCTATAGAGTCATCTGCTCTTCCTGGGGCAGTGGCAGTCTACATTGGCGCGGTTGGTTTGGTAATGGTCATGAATCGATCCGTATCCAATCATTTATCTCGGTCAGTATGCCCCTTAGCAGAAAGCATCGAAAGCTTCTCTCTGACCAGATTGCAGATCACGAGAGGCAGTCAAATCTTCCTCACGGCTTTATCAACTTTTAGTAGAATCCTGTTTATGGATTGGACTGACTGAGCTTAGTAGCATTAAGGCTCATGAACCTCTAGCGCTTGCGTCCTGTGCGAATGATGAGTATACGGATGACAAAACCGCTGGTGGAGACAAAAAAGACCCTCAATCTCGTCGGTCATTGAAGCAAGACTAGCTTTTCATATATAGAAGGCTATTTATCATACGGGCGGGAAGCTGTTCGTATCTGCGACAAGCTCTCCATTTGGAAAGGACAGGTAACAGAATTGTGTGCCAAGTTCAAGAAACAGCATATATTGCAATACTTGAATTTATAATAACTAGTCATAAACTAGCCAAAAGCTTAAAACGAGACCGCAGACAGCGGTAATAACCCGAATTCATTACATGGCTATTTTGATGTTGACGAATGCAGTCTCGATTGGTGTTTGATCAAAATCGACAAAGCAGATCAGCCTACAAGATGGCAGCTAGGCATGCTTACTCTGTATCTTTGAAGGCATTTGTGATTTCATCAGCAGCAATTGAACTTTGGTAAATATGCCAGGATAGGTATCTGATATACGAAAGTGAATTCGGGTGAGAATGTATTCGGATGTCGTTTTACAGCACTTGGCCCGAACCTTCCTTACCTACCCTGTACCAGCATATCACGTGACATTTGCCCGACCCCAAGATCTTTTTTTTTTTTTTTTTCCCGATAGCTGATGGTTTATATCGCTTGAGCAAGCGAGGGAAGTTACCACAATGTAAAGTCCAGAACAGGCTTCAGTTTCCGTGTGTCGAATATTGTACTGTATATTTCCAGTCAGCTGTGACAGTTGTTTCTGGAATTCTAAATCCGTTGTATTTTGACTAAAATGAGATTATATGGCATCTATCCTCAATGCATAGCTGCGACTGCGAAAGTTATTTTAATCTCTCTGCCGAAAGTCTTGCAGGAAAATGAATAGCCGAACTGACATACACGAACAAAGATCGAAAGAAAGAGTCGAAGAAATGGGGGAAGTCAAACTAGTAACAATGGGCTCAGAAGCAAAGGAAAGCATGATCGACTTTCCAGAAAAGTCAGCAATTTCTCTATTTTCCACTGCCGGTTCTCCTGTCACGAATCAAGAAAAGGTGGAAGCATCTAGCTCTGCCGATATACTGCTATGGGAGGAAGGTGACTACCTGGAAGATATTATGCAGCACCTTGCTCACATGGAGGTAGTGATTCGCAAAAACGAGCTGATATTGAGTGTTTCATAGCTAACATCGAGTAGAGTGTGACCCTTCCAAACGTTTCCATGATCGAAAAGCAAATGCAAATTACGTGGCAACTGCGGTCAAGCCTCATTGATTTTGTAGTTCAGTCACACCAGTACTTTCGTCTTTCCCCACAGGTTCTGTTTCTTTCAGTCAATCTGATCGATCGATACTGCTCGAGAAAGCAGATTGGCAAAGAATATTACTTGTTGCTTGGGAGTGCCGCGCTCTGGATTGCTTCCAAATATGACGGCAAAGCCTACCAAGGGAAAGGTTTCGCGCGTCCATCGGCCAAAGAGATAAGCGAACTGTGCAATGGCATGTTTGATGAACATATGATAGCTCAGATGGAGATATCGATCCTCTTCACCTTAGATTGGGTACTAGGTCATCCAACAACTGACCAAGGTATCAAGTTCTTGCTGGTAGGAGAGCCTGAAAATAAGGAACTCGCTAGTATGGCAGCTTATTTGTCTGAAATATCGCTTTACCATCGAGAGTTTGTTGGGATCAAGCCTTCTGTTATTGCCGAATCATGCTGCATGCTCGCCAAGATTATCCTATACGGAAGTCTATCCATAGGGGATAACACAGAGGCTGTGGTGATGGAAACTTTGAATTCTCTCTGGAAACACGTTTGCCAACCTCCACCAGCTATTTCCGAGAAGTATTTAAGGCAGAACCGACACTATGTAGCGCAGATAGTGTTTAGTCGCCTGGCAGATTCAACAGGTCATGCAACGTATGATAGACAGGCATAAAGGAAGGTCGTGGAAATCGACAATCTCATAGGAACTTGGTCGCATTGTCATAATATTATTGTAGAATTAAGGTAAAAGGAAAACAATTCAGACCTACTAATAATAGAATGTTATGATATATAATTTATTCCAGCTTGGTGTGGATAAGAAATGCGGTTACATGTACACATATTATTTTCTAACGTATTTCCCCACCACCCCGTACACCCCTAGTCCCCGCACACCTGTGATAACCTCACATCGGGATCTGTAGATGACTACAATCAATTATATAACAACAAGTATTTATTCAATTAAGCTAGGATTTTAGATACTGATTAAAGAACGCTCTCTCTACCGTTGGTGTTTTTGGCGGCTTTTTTTTCTGTAGTTTCCGTCTGTTTTCATTGATCTGATGTAAGACATTCCTTTCGGCTTGATCTCGTGCTGTAATGATCTGTTCAATCTCAGGAAAAGCTTGGTTAGGGTTAAATTGAACGGGGACCCGACCTGTAGGAGCTTTTGCTGCTGCTGACGCTTTAAGAACGGCTTTTTCCTCTTCCAGGCGCTGTATTTGACTGTTCTTGTTGTCGATGGACTTCATCGCCTTCTTCAGGATACATTTGAAGTCGCGAATTGACGGATTTCCGTCTTTTTGAGCCTCTTGGAGCTGTTTTTTAATATTATGACTTCCTTGAGGCGTTCCCCACACGGTCTCGGAAGTGACTTGCACCTTCCTTGGTGTTGTAGGCCCTTGAAATGACTTGCGTTTCTTCTCTTTGGGCTTCAAAGACTTCAACGCCTTCTGTATATTTATTGGGAAGAGACCAGTGGCTGAAAAGCCACTTATTATGTTCCTTCGAGTCAGGGCTTTCTGGGAAGCCTCTTTATAAGCTTTTAGGAATAGTTGTTGCTGATGTGGTGAGGTCGCTTCGTATGAAGCCCAAAATCGGGTCAATTGGCGATAGTACCGTTTTAACGGTCCAAATACCGCAACATCGAGCGGCTGTGTAATATGTGAAGAATGTGAGGGTAACCAAGAGAGCCAAATCTTGTTTAACCAAGCCTTTTTCATCAATTCTGCTGTTATATGTGACTTGTGCTGGTCCAGGACTAAAAGTCTCCATTGGGACGGGTCTGACGGCGTAGTCTCAGGTATAAATACCTCCATAAACCATTTGAGGAAGATGTCGGCGTTGGACCAACCCGTAGGACTTGCAGTGTATTTCCAATCAGGGAAAACGCTCGGAAACCACTGTCCTTGGAGGTTTTCTCCCTTAAAAACGACTGTCGGGGTGAGACGACGACCGTCTGCTGATATAGACTCCAATATCGAGCTCCAAGTAGAATTGTCTGACTTTATACGCTCTGAACTAGGAGTCATGACGGTCCCGGCCACAGTCCCGCCGTTGGTTTCCCCCAGTTGGACCCCAGTCTCGTCTACGTTATACGAATTAGACCGTAAGATCTTCTTGGACTCAACAACATAGCTGAGACCGTCATAGTACTCCGTGAGCGTCTCCTCCGTGACACAACGCTTCCTTGAAGCATCTATGACTCTCGATGGCTTCATTTCTATTGTCTCATGGCGTGATATGAATCTGTCGACCCAGTTCTTGCCGATATACGAGACGCCCCCGTTGACGGCAGACAACGCTTGTGCAAAGTCGTGTATTTCCTGCCTCGTCAGAGGCTGAAAAGCTTGCTCTCTTTCGATAATATAGTTAACAAGGTCATCCTCCTGCACGACCGTTAGCGACAGGTCTTTCTGATGTGCCGTTCTGATGTCTTGGCCGCCGGCGCATCGATCTTTCAAAGTCGACAGTTTAATTGAATGTTTTCGCGCCGAAGCTCGCAAACCTATCAACTTTTGGTCCTCTACTGCCAATTGCATTCTATTTTCATAATCTGACACTTGCGAATTCATTTCTGTTAACAGAAAAAAAAATGGATTTAATTTGAATTTTACAGAAGAGAGTGAAGTGGCTTGTTGTGATGACGCGTCGATGGTGTTGAGGTGTGCGGGGTCTAGGGGTGTACGGGGTGGTGGGGAAATACGTTAGTAAGTAGGCTCTCCAGAACATAGAAGGGTCAACATCTTGTCTTCAGACCCTGTTCCGCAAATAGTGCTGGATGCCAATGTTTCGATGCCTATATACATAGATGTATATTGTATGTTTCTGTCTAATCAAATTTCTTGCTATTAAATACAAAGAGGACTGATCTAACCAACCTCCCAGGCGTCCTTGAGACTTTGTTAAGTGGCTTAAAAAGCAACTAGAGTCTCCCATTGCTATAGTGAGCCACACAGGATAATTACTTGAGCCAGGTCAGCATGAAGGCGCCAATCGAGCTTCAGAAACCATGAGGAAAAATCAAACAGAAAGTGGAGCCTATAGCACTTGCTTCGGCAGGATTGGTCGATAGTCGAGCAGCATGAGCTACTATGCTTGGTGACGCTCCAGCCCAGATCTGATTTGGATCTTGGGTATGCTTTCGACACCTGTAGTTCAGATATGCTTACAATGTTTGCAGAGTGCGAGTTCGCTCGTGGTCTCACAGTCCCAAGGCTCTTCAACCCAGATGGCATAAAGGCTCTGCTTTGTACAGTAGAGATAGTTAGAAACCCTGGAGACTCATGTAGCAGTATCAAGTACCGCTTAAGTGAGACGGCATACACGATAGAAAGTTTCGACGCCGTCTGGAAAAGTGCAAGTCTCACCTCGTGCGTTCTGAATGGTTCCAGGACAAAATTAGAGAGTACGGCATGTCACACTGGGGATTCTGTAACTGCATCAATATTGATGAGACACGGAGCCTTCTGTAGAGGATGCAAAGGATGTATCAAAATGTACAGCGAATGAGAGTCAGCTAAATGATGTTAAAGTTGTTGATCGTTTAACTCTGTTCCAAACTTGCCTGCTCTTATGTCGAAAACCTCTCAACATGATGGGTAACCTATTGAAGGCTTTTTTTATCTAAAGTATGCATTCGAATGGAGGCGAATGGTACAGTATCTTACCATATTCTGTCTCGCCACAGGTTCATACCAGAGTCTAGCGGCCCGATGAATTCTCAGAGGTAGATTCATATGCTAGACGATTCCGTCAAATCTAGTACCTATGGAATCGGACTGGTACGTACCTCTGTGTATAATTCGGACTAAGGACGCGTTTTCAGGATACCTAACGAACAGACAGTCCAGTACAGGCTGCCGTAATACCAGAACGGGCTGCAAAGCTGGTTGTGATCGATATGGCTTTTTGTTACAACAAGGAAAGCCACAACGCCAGAAAGAGATGTGACCTTTTTGACTTTGGCGTCAGCTGTATATATAAGGGTTAAACGGCAAAGTGATTAAGGTTAAAACAAAAGTAAAAAAGAACGCGAATCAAGGACACGTCAAGATGAAAAGAAGTAGAGACTCAACGGATGATCAAAACGGCTCACATGCACAAAAGAAATTTAAGAATGGCATATCTATCCCTTTCGTACATCTTTCGAAAAATGACATTGAGACCAGCTCCGCGGACTTTACCACAAACATGTATAGTTCACGCAACAATAAGAGAAACATTGATGAAATGAACGGGCAGCTTGACCCTGAGTCAGACCGACCAGCTAAGCGCCTGCATCATGACCATGTCATGCAAGAGGAAGTTATAATGCATAGCCCACCTAACAATAAGAGAAATAGGGAAGAAATAGGCGGACAGGTCGAGCCTGAGTCAGACCGACCGGCTAAGCGCCTGCGTCATGGCCATATCATGCAAGAGGAAGTTATAATGCATAGTCCCGTTAATAATAAGAGAAACATGGAGGAGATGAGTGAACAGCTTGAGTCTGAATCAGACCGACCGGCTAAGCGCTTGGATCATGGACAAGGTGTTATATGGGCCGATAACGTTGATGGTCCACGCAGCAATAAGAGAAACATTGATGAAATGAACGGGCAGTTCGGGTTGGAGTCAGACCGACCAGCTAAGCGCTTGGACCATGGCTACAATACCATGCCTGCTGCCAGCGATCATGATATCATGCAAGATGAAGCCCAACCGAACCAAGGTTTGGGGGGTGAGATGACCGTCTACGCCAATCGAGTTAGGGTCTATCATCGACTTTTGGAGATGGATATCGACGAAACCCTATGTAACGCGTTGAACGTAGTCTATGCAAGCGATATCACAATTTTGGCCACAGCCATCCATGACTCTCCGCAACACATCCGTTTGTGGGCTTTACAGCAATTTGATGAGAAATTCAGAAGAACTATCATCGACCTCATGTCGGACATTGAAAGGCAAAAGGAAAATAACGACCCCAAGTCTGCTCTCCCTACCATCATGACAGACTCGTTGGTCCGTGAACGCGCTGTCGGGACCCGGACCTGTGTAGTATGCGAAGATGGATTTTGCAGTGAAAGTAAGAAAAACCCGGTAGATGTCGAACACGTCGTTTGGAAAGACTGCGGCGCTCATTTAATGCATCTAGAGTGTTTTCGCCGACAAGTCTTGGAAGGCAAAATGCCTCTCAAGGGCCTCTGCACATGTATCGATAACGTTTGCTAGATCCAACACACAACTTTCAATTTCAATGAGAGTAAATAGTAGGAGAATAGGCACGTAAGGAACAAATCATTCCAAAAACGTATGTTTTATGGATTTTAAGGGATTTGTATCATATTCTTGAATTAAACCTAGCTAGTTTCATGTTTTTAAAATAGTCATAGCTTGTCACAGGCACTATTTAATGGGAATATCTGGCTTCCTTGAACTCATTGCGTACCCTGTACCTTGCTCTTTGCCTACGAGATAAGTATTCCTCAAACACCTTCCTTTGTCATCACACTTTCTTGGCATACAAATGTTAAGAAAGTGGCCCTGTCTACGCCTAAATCCTTAACAAGTGCACAACAAACGCCTCGATTTGCGCTTTGC